TCCCCCGAAAACTTTACAACCCATTACGCCAATTTCCAAGAAGTGTGTTCATATTCGTACTAAAATGTCATGTGTACTACAAAGCTTAAAATATAAACGTTAACTCAAACCAAAGTGTAAATCCTATTACACCTGTATAATATACAAATTATATGAGATTAAAAATAATACAGATTAAAAATAATACATATTTTTTTATGTTAGATTTTTATTGTGGTATGCATAATTACTTTATTACTTCTACGTTTTATTTAATTTAATGCCAATAAGTAACCAGGTTTAGCAAATAGCGTGTTCCAATTAATTAAAGATAAGTGGGTGTGACAGTAATTAATATTTCCCAAAAGAGGAACTTTTGCAGATGAGATCAATAATTGAATTATTTTTCGTTATTTTTTCTAACACGTCAAACAGAGTCCTTAAAAATAAAATTTTGATTAAAAAAATGCCGCTTTTAAATTACCCATGTCAAATATTAAACAGGTTAAAACGTTACCTACCGTTTTTACAAAACTTTTTTAATCAAGAGTACTTTAATTTTGATTTTAAAATTTTTTCCATTAAATATCAGAAAATTAAGGATTTTTTTCAATTTCCTATAACTTGTTGGCATTTTACACTGAGCTGCAATTTACATAGCAGCAATTTTACTACAACAACTACAACTATTTTGTCCTGCATTCGTTACTAATTAATGTTTTTTTTTGCATTTTACGACAAAACGGTTAAAGTTACACGTAAAAAGTAAAAAAGTATTTTATAAGAAATTTAATTTTCTACAAACTTACTCTATGCATTAATATAATAAAATGCATATTTTAAAATATATAATGCATTTAATTAAATTTTATCAAGCTCTTCGAAGAAAAAAAAATACCCTTAGAAGTATTATACACATAATACTTGGATATTTGGTGCACACTCCATTAACTTGGTTTTTGTTTAAATAAATAAATTTAAAAACCAAGAAGTAACAGAGTTTAATGCAAATATCTAAAAAATACAAAAAACATCTAAAAAATTAATGAATACCATTATTGGTTCATTTGAAATAAATTGACTGAAAAGTTTCAAAAATGGTGAATGCGCCGGGATTTTATTAAATTTTAAACTTCATTAAATTTTAAATTGTATTATAACCAACAAAAGTTCTGTAAGTATTAATTTTATGTAATAAGCTTGATTACTTTCCTAATGACCAGTTAAATATATTAAATATTACATAGGATTCTATGTACTATTTAATTAAATTATTTAATTTATATATTATACAGTGTGGAATATAATACGAGACACATTAACTTTGACAAAATTGACAAAATATTTAAATACAGCAATTAGTAATATTAAAATTACTAATTTTAAAATGACTTAGGATTATATATTTACAGTACAGTATTCCACAAAATTTGTTATCTTACCTTAAAAAATTTTGTGTTAAAATTGAGAGGAAAGTAATTTATAGTTTTGAATGGCGTACGCAAGTATATCAAAGTTAGTCTTTGTTCAAATTGAAATGTCAGGAACAGTTAACCTACTCAAAAACCGCAGGTTTCTGATAAACATTTAAACTTACCTAAGTTTATTGTCCTCTAACCTAATATTTTTTTAAACGTGTTTTTTTAATCCTTACATTTCTAGAAATATACTAAGCCCTTTTTTACTCCAACGTTTAAAACGCCCATTATTATACATATTGATCTTTTAAATACGCATTGACAAGCTGTGACTTTATGACGTTTTAGTCACGGGCTGTTTGTTGACAGTTGTTTAATCTCAAACAATCGTCAAAATAAAGTGCTCTTCTTGTAAAATAATACTAAATGTGGATATTATTAATGTTTGAAAATAGTATATTATGTATCAAGTTTAATAAACGCCATTATATACACGAATTTAATTTAGGCACGAGCGAGCTTGCGAGCGAGTTCTTAAACTAATGAGTGTATAGAAAAGTTTATAAACGAGGTGCATACTATACTTTTTCTACGACAAATACTTATTATTATTATTATCTTAAAATGATTTAAATAAAATATTTTTATAGAGCGCCATCTATGAAATAATTGGAGAATCTGTGTCAAATGTAAAATTTTTAAATTTTATAAACACAGATTATAAGGTTATAAATCGAAATGTATTTCTTGAAAATGGACAGTTTTTTACAGTGAAAGTAAAGTAAATGTTTTATGAGCACTTTACAGTGGAGTCCGTGCCCGAATTTAAGTTATAGTTTACTGCCGGCGAAATTAAAAGGTCAGTACAATGTTCATATAAACTTTTCAAATATTGGCGTTGAGAAACTATTTAATACTTTTGTATTTTTGAGATAATAAAATAATTTTCACATTTAGTATTATTTTACAAAAAAGGCACTTTATTTTAACGATTGTATGACATTTGACAACTGTCAACTAACTTAAAACTAACTTCAGCCCGTGACTAAAAACCTGTTGCTAACTTCAGCCCGTGACTTAAACGCCGTAAACTTGTCAATGTGTATTTAAAAGGTCACTTAGTGTCATGGAAACATGTACGATAATGGTCCTTTTAAAGGTGGGAGTAGAAAAAATTGTATAAAGGTTTTTAGTAACCTTTTCATTCCGCCGGCAGCAAACTAGTGTTTATCGTAATTTCACTGTAAGAAACTTATTTTGGAAGCAGGCTAAACATATTTCTGACGTCAATTTGGGTTACCATATATTTGTATAGATGTCGCTCTATACAGTCGAACACTGCCCTCTAGCACTGTTGTTAAAACTAAATTAGTTGATCTACTTTTTATAATGTAGTGAAAATAAAAATAAAACCTTGATTTTCTACGATAAATTTTTCGATTTGTTCCCTGGTCAATAGTTTTGAGTTTTTTGGTCGATATTCTTAGTCCTTTCGCTTTAAAAGAATAACAAGCTTGTAATATTTGCTTATGCCCCAATTTATTGTGTTTATTGTCACCTTTAACATCTTCAAATTATGCCAAAATCACTTTTTAATTTAACTTGCCACTAATAGTGTTCGGATCACAATATCTCAAGAAACGATTGTAAAAAAAGCAGGGACCCGGACCGAAACCGAAAAAAACCGAAAACCGGAACGGAACCGGTTTTTTTTTTCGAACCGTAACCCGAACCGGAACCGTTTTCGCTTTTGATAAAATCTGTTGGACCGGAACCGAAACCTTTATTTGCTTTCATTCTAATAACATAAAACAAATAACCTCACTGGAGCCGCTTAAAACCGAAAAGAACCGAACCGTTATAACTCCACGAAACCGAAACCGGAATCAGAACCATTAAAACGAAAATAGGGTGAACCAAAACCGTACCGGAACCGATATTTCATTTCGGTCCGGGTCCCTGAAAAAAAGTCGTTTTCTAAAAATGAGTTAGTCAAAAATGACTAATTTAATAGTTTTTAGTGGCTGCTTTTTCACTTGTACCATGGTTAACCATAGAATACCATGGTAGCCCAGCCAATTCTTATGTAAAATTGTCCCCTGAATCAGAAAATAACGTCAAAAATTATGAAAGTTGAGCAGTTTTTGAGATATTGTCAATTCCATATTAAATGGAAAATTGACTATATCTCAAAAGCTGTACTACTTTTTTAACTTTTGACGGTATTTTCGGATTCAGGGGACAATTTTACATAAGAATTAGCTGTTAAATTTTGAGATACCATGGTATTCCATATACAAGTGAAAAAGCAGCCACTAATAACTATTAAATTAATCATTTTTGACTAATTCATTTTTAGAGAGCGTACTACGTAGGCAATAATTTAAAAGTTGCTTTATTAGCAGCTTCTAGAATTTCTGCCGGGAATAATTCATTTTTCATGTCACTAGATTTGAAGTTGCTGGTCAACAAACCTTAGCAAAAATCTATAATTTTAATTTTTATAAATCCAATAACATAAGAAATGCGTTCATTTGTACTATAAATGGTGTTTGTAGAAAAAATTGTGCATGATATATATACTAAAAGTGATTTTATTTTGTTCGAAGGGATCGCACAAAATAAATTGTCTCTTTTAGCACTAACTAAAAGTCATTTCTGTTCTATTCTACGACATTTAAAAAAATAATATTTTGTTTATCTTAAAATTAAGTTGGGTGTCACTTCGTTTATTTCGTCGTAAAGGTTGGAAAATTATTAAATAATATCTGCAAACAAGTCTATAAAAGAACTTATAGGAATTAATTTACTTTTTCTTTGAACTCCAATAGAAGATATTAACAAATTAAATTTAAATTTAAAAAACTTTTGAGTTTAGGCAAATAGGTGTAATTTGATAAAAACATTTCCTTTAGGTTCTTTAAATGATCCTTTTACTTTCATTAAAAAGTTATTTTAAAATAAACTAGATTCTTTATACCATCACCGGCAAGAAACCGACCACCAGAAATTGGCCACAATTTTAATGTTGATTTACTTGTAAACCGACCATCTGATTTTGATGTTTTTTAAATGTAAGTGGACTCTTTAGTAACGATGCTATTGTAAACATTTTTATTTTGATTTTTTTTATCAAAAGTAAGATAACTTTTTTTCTGGGGCATGAGGCACTATAACTTTAAAATATAATAAAAAACAGTAAAGCATATTAGGATTCTTATTACCTCAATAAATTTGAACAGGTTGAGGAAGAGATCTGAAAATAATGCCTCCTGGGAGGGCTATAGGCATTTTAAACTGTTTCTTGGTGTAAAATCAGATAAACGATAACCATAGGCGTGCGGAACAGGGTCTACTCGGGGAAAAAATCCTCATAATTTTTTGTGGGGATTTTTTGAATTCTTGATCCTGGAATCCAATTCTCCAGATAATTCTTGACTCCGTGACAACGTAAAAAAGAAATTTTAATATTTGAAATGTGTATTGCCGACATTTTTCATTTAGATAATTTTTGTTTATGTGATACAATTTTATTGAACTATTAAGTAAGAAAATTGTAATAGACCAGTATAACAAAAAAAATAGTATTTATTATCAGTCAGTAAAATATTTACAGAACTTTTATTTACATGAAAACAACGATATAATTACATTTATTAAAATTCTCTTAATCCGAAAAATCATTAATCCTTTTTGCAATGGTAGCAGGAACAAGTGACGGCCGACTTGAAGGTTAAAACTCGTATGCCATCCACGCATAGGACTTTCGCTTCCACAGGTTCGGTTTCCATGATGTTACAGCACTGGCCCACCGAAGTTACAGGTTGGTTTGGACTCGCCTTAAAGTTTGAAGGTATTGCCCAGCTTTCGCAGTAGCCTCTGCACGCGTTCGTTGTTATAGGGAATTCCACGCAGTCTGGTATGCTTATTTTTCTCGTGTGGCCTGGAAAAAAGTATATGAAGTTTAGTCAAAACAACGAGATTTTGCAAATCATCATTGGTTTAAATACACAGCTGTTCCAAGTAAAAAACTACAAAGTAGGTACAATAGCAAAATTGTTTGAAAAAATCTACAAAAATATTAAATATTCAATCAATCTTTCAACCTACAATGTCACACAAAGCTTATTTTTCTAAATGCGCAGTTGTTCCAAGTAAAAAATACTTTGAAAAGAAATATTAAAAATTTAAAATGGTATAAAATCTGTATAATTTGGATTTTTTAAATGAAATTTGAAATTTGTCGATAAACTATGGTAAATGAGGAGCATCCGTGCAAAACCGGCTATATCCACTTTAATAAAATGTTGAGAAAATGGCAAAAACTCTCGGTTTCCTGGCCTTTACAGATAAAAGAAAAAGCAAACTTGAGTTTTGTGGGCTTTGTAGTACTTGATTTATAAGATATAGTTTCGTTTTCAAAAACTTTATATTAAGGCCAAAATTTCAAAAAATGTTTTGTATATACCCGGTTTTGCTCAAAAACCGAATAAAAAACGATTAAAATATGAAAAAAAACCTTTATTATTCAAAAATATTAACAAAATAAATTTAGTGCAAACATGAAAAAACAGAACAAATTTTAGTAGTAGTATCGACATATCCAAGCCACATATTATTATTTATTGGATATAGCCGGGTTTGCTATAAAAACGTGGATTTGGCCGGTTTTGCTCCTAAAGTTACCTTTTAAATGTGATTTTAACATGGATATAGTTGGATTTGAACAGAATTATCTTGGTTGTCGATAGAAATGAACCCAAAGATGCGAAATCAAAAAAAAAAAACAAAAACTGAATAAAATGGATTTAGCCGGTTTTGCACGGATGCTCCTCAAATAATAAATTGCACCAATAAAATTTATATTATATTTATTGGGGGCGCCATGGGGCCGGTACGGCTGAGCAAAAAATAATCTTTTTTTCGCAAAATTCAATTTAAATTCTGCTTGCGCAGAACTTGTTTATTTAATGTCATTATAAAGTAATCCCATGAGAAACACTTAAGCATGTAGCAAAAACGTGGCAATGACCACCGCAATTATATACCTAAGTAATACTTAAGTGATGTGGTTTGGTTGCCGTTACTATATATAATACACTTTAAAGTTTAGACATTTTTAAGGTGATGTCAAAAGTGATCATAACATTTCGGATACCAGACTAATGCACCAAAAAGTTATAAAACTATGAAGTATATTCTGCTGGTGCAAATTACTTGATTACAACTGTGCTAATATAATTTAAATATATTTCAACTGTATCGTGGGAGATTTAGTTATTTTACGTAATTGCCACTTCACTATAATGTTACTTGGAATGTACGTATGTTTTGTTTAGGTTTTTGTTTACTTATTTTTAAAACTAGTTTAAATTTATTTAAGTGTATTTATTTATACTTTTTTACAATATATTGGCTTTTGAAAATTTCCATAATTATTTACTATTTTGAAAGTATTTTTTTTTTACTAGTTAAAAGTAATTTCTTTTAATTGAAAACCATACACATAAGGTATTAACATTTATATAAATTAGAACCGCCGTTTATTTATTATTTTTTCACTAATAAAACTTTCATAGAAATTAGCTTCCAACAAAAAAAACTATTGAATGAATTAACAAGCTCAAAATCAAGGTAGTGAAATTCACTTACAACCCACGGTGGCGGTAAATACATAAACATAAAGTAATAAAAAAAGAATTAATAAATACTCACCAACTTTATGACACCCAGGTTTTTCCCAAGCATCTCTTGCATTAACAGTTGATACTAGGAATGCATTTGACAGTGATAGTGCTGTTATCAACAACCAAAATGTGAGCATCTTAAAGAAAAAACAATTTTACAAATTATAAAATAACTACCCCACAAACAAATTAATAATTTTTTGAAAATGCTACAAACTAAATTTACTTAGTTTAATTAATATTTGATGCGATAAAATTGAATAGCTTTTAAACAAAATTTGTAGCGTAAATTAGCTCACCTTCTGACAGCGATCAGATGCTGCAGATATGCCTGCAAAACCACGAATAGAGCTTACACCGTCAGTTATTTGCATTTTCACTCCTTTGCGCTACCCCCACTATAACGCGCGCCCCCGTGAAACGCTTTAATTTTTCCCGTTCAATTTCTTAAACATGTTTTGCGAAAAATAATCTCATTATTGCTTAATTGCCGCGACCGATTTTATGGGCAACATGACTTCTTAACGCGATCCAGTCCCTAAGAGAATACGTTAATTATGATAATGGCATTATTTTTCCCAGTCTGTTGTTCTAAAATAACAGTTTTTTCTTTAATTTATTTAATGATATGCAAAAATACGAAAGGGCCTATACCTACTTGATTTATAAAATGATATTAATATAATTATAATATAATAATAAAAGTATAAGACCAGAATTTTTGTCAGCTGTAACTAAAACAACTTTATTGTTAGTTTACAATTATATAAATATAACATGAGTATGATATCATATGTACGTAAGAAATGACAGTCAAATTTTATCTCAATATGATGTCACAATGATATCAAACAACATGACATAAAACAGACTCTTTTTATAATCTAAATATGATGTCAAATTGACGTAAAATTGTATAAGATCCACGCGTGACTTTAATTTTACTGGGAATTATAATTTAAATACAATTTATTTGAAATGCATCATAATAAATTATATAAAAAGGTTATATTGTTTGTTAATTAATTAATTAATTGTTAGTTACTCAAAACAATCATTGTTTCATTAATTACTCAAAACAATGTAGGTATAAGGTCATCTGCGTAAATCAGACTAAAAATATTGATTTTGTCGCAAATGTCATTAAAAATAATAGTAAATAACTTTGTTTTTTAGAATCTAGCCAATTTTATTTGTTAAGCGATACATGAAACGTACAATTGTTAAAAGCAGGGACGCGGACCCAAATGAAATAACGGTTCCTGTCCGGTTCCGGTTCCGAGAGAATATTTCTATCCGGTTCGGACCAATCTTTTCGGTCCATACGGTTTTTTTTTGTTCCAATTTTTTTAATAAGTAATATTATAAAATAAAAAAAAAATTTTTTGTTTAATTTTTTTTGGCTTGTAATTAAATTACTTTGTCTATTCTTTTTTTCAAATCAGGTTCTTCAATTTTAGGCTCTTCATTCTCTTTTTTTACTTTTATTTTCCATCGGCTTGCTAACTTTAACTTTTTCTTCTGATCTTGCGATTGAAAAACTGGAAAATTCATATTTAAAGTTTTTCTTCAAAAATTCTGTTGGTTCTCACAAATAATTGTTCCTCTAAAAAATTTTTCTTGATCTTGTTGGGGGAATTAAAAATTTATGACCAGAAACCAGCCTTTTAACGCTAACTTACTTGTGTTGCAGTTGTCATAAGTAAACATAATACTAGGCAACACTAATTAATAAATCCCCACTACAAATGTATCTACCACCCATGCTAGTCAAGATACCTACATACACCTACATGGCATGTAGGTGTATGTAGGTAGGTAGTACATGCCAGTCATTTTAATAAATCGGTCTTCAACCTACTCTGGTATTATTTACTTCATGATGCAGTCGGTAGGATATTTTGTATTTTGTACAGTGTTGCCTAGTATATACTGTATAATATATATGTATACATATGACATCATTCTTTTTCCAATAAAGTTAGTTTTATTTACATTTACAATAATTATTTATTCAACATTTACAATTGGTATCAATACAGCAGAAACGCTAACAATACTTGTGCTAGAGTTTATAATTTATAGATTTATAGCCCGTGCTCAAATATTTTTTATAGAATTTTTAACGAAAAAAATATTTTTTTTTTATTTTTGCAAAAAGAAATTAAGAAAAAAACAGAAAATAACCTAAAAAACCGTTTTAAATTTAAAGGATTCGGGTGGGTTTCTATAGAGTTACGTTTAAAAATAATATTGTTTCGGTTACGGTTCCGATCCACAAATAAATACCGGATGAATGAATGAATGAATGAATGAATGAATGAATGAATGAATGAATGAATGAATGAATGAATGAATGAATGAATGAACGAATGAATGAATGAATGAATGAATGAATGAATGAATGAATGAATGAACGAAAGAATGAATGAATGAATGAATGAATGAATGAATGAATGAATGAATGAATGAATGAATGAATGAATGAATGAATGAATGAATGAATGAATGAATGAATGAATGAATGAATGAATGAATGAATGAATGAATGAATGAATGAATGAATGAATGAATGAATGAATGAATGAATGAATGAATGAATGAATGAATGAATGAATGAATGAATGAATGAATGAATGAAGAATGAATGAATGAATGAACGAATGAATGAATGAATGAATGAATGAATGAATGAACGAAAGAATGAATGAATGAATGAATGAATGAATGAATGAATGAATGAATGAATGAATGAATGAATGAATGAATAAATGAACGAATGAATGAATGAATGAATGAATGAATGAATGAATGAACGAAAGAATGAATGAATGAATGAATGAATGAATGAATGAATGAATGAATGAATGAATGAATGAATGAATGAATGAATGAATGAATGAATGAATGAATGAATGAATGAATGAATGAATGAATGAATGAATGAATGAATGAATGAATGAATGAATGAATGAATGAATGAATGAATGAATGAATGAATGAATGAATGAATGAATGAATGAATGAATGAATGAATGAATGAATGAATGAATGAATGAATGAATGAATGAATGAATGAATGAATGAATGAATGAACCAATGAATGAATGAATGAATGAATAAATGAACAAATGAATAAATGAATTAATGAATAAATTAATAAATTATTAAATTAATAAATTATTAAATTAATAAATTAATAAATTAATAAATTAATAAATTAATAAATTAATAAATTAATAAATTAATAAATTAATAAATTAATAAATTAATAAATTAATAAATTAATAAATTAATAAATTAATAAATTAATAAATTAATAAATTAATAAATTAATAAATTAATAAATTAATAAATTAATAAATTAATAAATTAATAAATTAATAAATTAATAAATTAATAAATTAATAAATTAATAAATTAATAAATTAATAAATTAATAAATTAATAAATTAATAAATTAATAAATTAATAAATTAATAAATTAATAAATTAATAAATTAATAAATTAATAAATTAATAAATTAATAAATTAATAAATTAATAAATTAATAAATTAATAAATTAATAAATTAATAAATTAATAAATTAATAAATTAATAAAAAATAGGTAAGTTTTATAATTTTTATCGCAAAACTTTCTTAATCCATATCCGTATTTATTTCTATAATTAAATTTAAATTTAAAAAATAAATTTGTTATTAGTAGTTTCCTGTAGCTAGTAAAACTTCAGTACTGTTAAATCACAGTAGATGGCGAAAAATAAATTGAAATAATGTGGATTTTGTGCAAATATTTATTTAAACCATCTTACTGTTGTACCATGTATTTAAACCAATTCGTTTTTCAAATTCCATTTAGAAACAAACATTTTAATAAACCGCCATTTTAAAATTCCGCTGCATTGTTGACACTTCCAAGCGTTGGTGCTTTTGACACTAAATTTGACGTTTCTCTCGAAATGCACATCTGTCAGATATTTAAGGTTATTTAAATGTTAGCAAAATTTTGTACGTTAGTTAATTAATTAAATATTTATAATGGCAGTGTGTAGTGAATTTATACAAAGCGAATTCCCTTTAATTGATGACGACCTCAAGCAATATGTAGAAGGTACGTTCAGTGGTTAAAACATTAAGCAGCGAATTTAAACTTTTACTTTCAACAGATGTCTTAAAAAATGGGGCCGACGAGTTCGAGGACAGCGAAGAGATCTACGAGGCTATCGGGGAAGTTTTACAAGAAGTGTCAAGTGATAAAACCGAAGATGACATAAGGTAACACAACATTACCATGTTATCGTTTAGTAACCAACATTATTTCAGAACCATATGTGATGAACTCCTACATATGCTTAAGCCTAGTAAAACGTCTTTAAGAAATGGCCCACAAAGAGTTTTAAATGCACCTGTACATCTCGGAAGCATGGCTGCAAATTTGGAAAACGAGGTTGATGATATAAAAAGTATTTGGGTGAACCATAGGGATGACAATTTAAAGGTCGATGCGCGAAAATTAGAGAAGGCGCAGGCTAAACTACAGGAAAAACAAGATAAAAGATCGAAGGAAATCAAAACTATAGCTCCACCTAAACTGGAGTCTGCTACAGCTTCTCAAGTTAGTATTTTTTATAATATATTTTTGTAACAATATTCTTTAGACATTGCATCCAGCTTTAATTTACTTTTTAATGCAGTCAGGTTACCTGACTCAGGTACTCAGGTTACCTGACTCAGGTATATCCAACTTAGCCTGACATTTTTTAAATAAGTTACAAATTTTGTCATTATTATACTCTAGGTTTTAAGTTAACATTCTTAAGACAGTTATATTTAGCTTAAGTTGTCATTTTAAAAATGGTTTCATCATTTACATTCTTATTAGGTATCTAAAGTTTAAATTTAAACATTTTAGGTACCTACCTGAGGTTATACCAAGTTACAGTTTGTTTCTTTTTTTATTTGGAATTTGACACATTTGATGTGACTTGAAAAAAACGATCCGTTTTTTTTTCAGTTTTTTGTTCACTGTGTTTTTTTTCAAATGGTTTTTTTTTCATATTTTATGTTTTTTCAAGATTAGTTTCATTTGCCTAATTTTTTATGTTTCCAGTCCCGTTCATGGACTAAAATGTATCCACTAAATGACATTTAGTAAAATAAATACAGTCACGTGCTATGCACGCGCCCTCACCACCGAATTGACCAATAAGGTTTTGTTTTGATTTTGTCTTAAAAAAAAGTAACTACCTATAATAGACTTCAAGAAGTTTTCTTACATTGATATTGGTTTCTTATGTGTAAAAATACTCAATTTTTTAAGATTGATGTTATTTTTTGAAAGAATATGCTTTATTGTAGCGCATTTAAAAAAAACGAAAAAAAAACCGGTTTTTTTTCGTTTTTTTTTTCATTTTTTTTCTCGGTTTTTTTTTTAAATCTGAAACAAAAAACCGTTTTTTTCATCTCTAGTTGGTACTGTATATCAATATAGTTTGGTACTTTTAATATTTAATATTGCTACTCCTGTTCAATGTCTTAATTTTACTTTGCAATTATTATTTAATTGATAGAATCACAATTCACACAACAAGCTTGTCTTAGGTCTGTTCTATCTCATGCTAAAAATACTAAAAATCACTGCAACACTGCACAGAGATTAACGGCGGCCATTTTTGTTGTTTACAATTCTTGTGCTTTGGGTTTGTGCTGTTTAATAATTGTTTTAAACGTTGTGTTTCTTACAGATGTATTCTATCAGGGATGTCAAATGACAATTTGAAGGTTAATTCGTGGGTTATAATTTAACCTTAAAATTGACATTTGACAGTTTTATGACAGCCCTGATAGAATAAAGTTTATTTTTTACAATAGAGGAGTAAAATGGTTGTTCTTAGCACTTTAAGGACTCTTTTAAGGCTTACTATGAGAAACACAACGTTTAAAACGATTATAATTATAATAATTATTAATCTGTATAAACAGAGCACAAACCCAAAGCACAAAAATTGTAAACAACAAAAATGGCCGCCGTTACAATGTGCAGGGTTGCAGTGATTTTTTGTATTTTTAGTATGAGATAGAACAGACCTTGTTGTGTAGATTGTGGATAGAATTATAATAAACAAGGCCAAATATAACAGAAACGATTTTTTTTTAAATTAAACAACATTTGAAGGAATAATTAGTTTGTGCTTCATAAGTCCAATAAAATATTTTGTTTTACTGTATCCAATTATAAATTAGGGTCCCTAAAATTTGCCAAATAAACCCCCAAATTTTTGACGTCAGATTCCAAATAAAAAAACTGTAATTTTGCTTAATTCTGAGGTATATAATATTTATATTAAAGCATTCCCAATATTTATTGAATTGTTAGAATTATAATAAACAATGCCAAAGAGAACACACAATTCTAAAGAATTTTTTTTAATTAAACATTATTTTGATGGAATAATTAATTTGTGCTGCATAAATCCACTAATTTTTTTTATTTTACTCAATGTAGTCCATTATAAATTGAGGGTCCCTAGAATTTGCCAACTAAATCCCCAAAGTTTTGAAATCAAAATCCGTATAAAAAACTAGTTATGCTTAATTCTGATTATTTAATATTAACTATTACCTATTATATTATAAGTTTATTTTAATTTTTAAAGCTAGTCATTCCCAATAGTTTAGGATTATAAATTTTGAAAATAATGATTTATGAAGGGTAGGGTGATTCATTTCCGCAAAGTTTTTGTTTTTTTTTTTGGTACTCAAGCAAAATATTAATCTGCATATAGGAAAAAACATTCTCACCAAGTTTGAGCTCTTAATATTAATTTTAAGCACTTACTATTTAAATTTAAAGTTTTACCGTTTAAAATGCATGTAAAAATATATTTTTTTTTCAAATTTCTAATGCTTACCTACCTTTGACAATATTGCAAATCGGTTTAATACACCCTATGGGGAATTTCACGCTCTTTAAAATTGCTTTTGAGTTTTTTTTTGTAACTCGCATTGGTTCACCAGTAGGAGTCGTCAAAGGACAGTTTTTGAAAAAAATCGTTTTTTTTTATTTTTTCGAGCAAATCGACAAAAGTAGTGAGAAAAAAGGGCTGATTCATAAAAAAAAAGTTATGCAACCAATATTTAATGAATTAACTGCCATTTTTATAACTGAAAACGTAAGAAATTGATAAATACCAACCCATAATGTTATTTAGATTGATTTTTATTATCATTATATTTCACTACACTAAGAACTTTTTTAAAATTATTATGATTTCTCACTCATAATGAATATGAAAACAACACATAAATTCATAAAAAAACAACAAAACTTTAATCGGAATATACAGAAGGTTATGTAACATATTTCAAATTTCGCTTCAAAAAATTAAATAATCTTCATTTATATTTTTTTGCTATATGACAGAAATGTTGAAAAATTGCAAAATCCACGTTACAATTTTCTTATTGTTTTTTTATGAATTTATCTGTTGTTTTCATATTCATTATAAGTGAGAAATCAATAATTTTAAAAAACTTCTTAGTGTAGGGAAATATAATGATAATAAATAGAAAAAATCAATCTAAATAACATTATGAGTTGGTAATTATCAATTTCTTACGTTTTCAGTTATAAAAATGGCTGTAAATTCATTAAATATCGGTTGGATAACTTTTTTTTATGATTTAGCCCTTTTTTCTCCCTAATTTTTGCGGTTTGTTAGAAAAAACTTAAAAACAAAAACGATTTTTTTCAAAAACTGTCCTTTGACGACTCCTACTGGTGAACCAATGCGAGTTACAAAAAAAACTCAAAAGCAATTATAATGAGCGTGAAATTCCCCATAAGGTGTATTAAACCGATTTGCAATATTGTCAAAGGTGGGTAAGCATTAGAAATTTGAAAAAAAAAATATATTTTTTACATGCATTTTAAACGGTAAAACTTTAAATTTAAATAGTAAGTACTTAAAATTTATATTAAGAGCTCAAACTTGTTGAGAATGTTTTTTCCTATATGCAGATTAATATTTTGCTTGAGTACCAAAAAAAAAAAAACAAAAACTTTGCGGAAATGAATCACCCTACCCTTCATAAATCATTATTTTCAAAATTTATAATCCTAAACTATTGGGAATGAGTAGCTTTAAAAATTAAAATAAACTTTTTTCTATATGCAGATTAATATTTTGCTTGAGCACCGAAGAAAACAAAAACTTTGCGGAAATGAATCACCCTAATGAAGGGGTTTGTCCGAGTTTTTGGGCATTGTTGCTACATTACAAGATTAATTAAATTTTTGATACCCTTCTTCATCTCATCTAGCAAATCTTCCGGCAATATAACTATTAATACCCAATAATAATATTTTTTTGAAAAGGTGACCAGTCAAAAAGAACGCAAACTGGAAGCGAAAGGCACAAATCGGACCCAAGACATACGAATCGAGAACTTCGACATTGCTTATGGGGACAGGGTTCTGATCCAGGGCGCGGATATCTCTCTAGCCTTCGGCCGCAGGTACGGTTTGGTGGGGAGAAACGGTCTGGGAAAAAGTACGCTGCTTAGAATGATCTCCAACCAACAACTAAAAATCCCTTCTCACATTTCCATTTTGCATGTGGAACAAGAGGTTATTGGCGACGAAACGATAGCGCTGGAAAGTGTTTTGGAATGTGATATAGTGAGATCAGAGTTGATTAAGAGGGAGAAGGAGATTACTGCGGCAATAAACGCGGGGTATGTTAAAAATATACTTTTTAACGACATTTGTTATTTAAATCTTTGTTTAGGTCTGCTGATCCAGAGGTAAACACTCAGTTGAGTGAAGTGTACGCGCAACTGCAAAACATTGAGGCCGATAAGGCTCCAGCAAAAGCAAGTATTATTCTAAATGGTTTGGGATTTACTAGTGATATGCAATCAAAAGCTACCAAGACATTTTCTGGTGGATGGAGGATGCGTTTGGCGCTTGCTAGAGCGCTATTTTCAAGGTAATTTTACCATTGTTTTTAGCTGCAACTTTTGTTTATTTCCATTTTAGAATTTACGTCATTTTTGTTATTATTAAATAATTATTTTTTAAATGCGCGATTATCATTAATCTAATAATATTTTAACCATTTAAATATAAAACTAAGGATCCAAAATTGGTTAAATTAACGTTATGCCAGGTTAATTAAGTAGTTTAGTAATTTAAATAAATTTTCATTTTATTCAAAGGGTACTACAAAAAAAATGCAAGTCATTTTTTTGAAAATTTTCAAATTTTTACGGATTTGTGCGCTGATATACATAAAAAAGTAAATTTCCAAATGATTATAATAAAAATATTATATTATTTTATTATGATTATAATAATTATTCCTATTATTTTAATTCAGTAAGAATATTATAACGGGCACCAAAAAACATATTTGCTGCTGTATTAACATAATTATCGTTTTATTTGACACATTGATTTATAAAATTATAAATTAACTTTGTAAATGGATATTTTCAATGGACTCCCTTTGCAAAAAGGAACCAAAACGATTACGTTTATTTTCTTAAATCAATTAAATTCAATGAATTGTTTTATTTGATTTTATTTCTATAATAAAGGTTTTTTTAAATTAAAATAATGTTAATTTGTAGATTGCTACTTTTACTAAAATGGGTATATTTTCCAAAAAACACATTTTTTTCCAAAAAAGCCAATTTTTCTAAGGCCAGGGATAAAACAGTATTTTCTTGCTACCCGGCAGAAAATACGTTGTTTCGTCCCCGATTCCACGGCAGAAAGTTTACGTTTTATGCATTGGTCAAGGCTATACGTATTTTCGGCCGAGGTAGTAAGAAAAGTTTCATTTCCTCCCGTTACGATGACAACGCTACAGTTTGATTGATTTTGAATGTAAACGTCAGAATTAAATTAAACGTCAGATTTTAATTTTGACACAAGTTTTTTATACTCATTTAATTTTTTCCAGTATTTTCTGCCGGGTAGCAAGAAAAATAGTATACACTACACGGGCAGAAAGTGTGAGAGCCCTGAACTGCGCGCCATGATGCCCTCGGCTTCGCCTCGGGCATCATGGCGCGCAGTGCAGGAATCTCACACTTTCTGCCCTTGTAGTGTAATATACTATTTCCCCAATTCTTACGGTTTTTTTCGACACTTTTAAACCCTATCTTTTCTATAATAATTATTTTTGTTAAAACTAAGGAATTCTAGGGATTCTTCTTCTTCTTCTTCTCTGGTTTGATTGGCCTTTCCCTTCCGGGAATTAGCCAGCTTAATCTCGTTTCTTTTAGGTACTGGAGTAAGCGAGTCTAGGATTACCTATAGCTTCTCCTTTCTTCTTTATTATATAATATATATAAATTACAGCTTCTCGTTTTCTTCTTGATTATTTGTTTTATTTTTCAAAATTAATGTCCATCAATATCACTTCAGTCTTCATAGTTAATAAATCAATCTTTTTATTTTAGCATTATGGTTCAATCTTAACAAATCTTCTCAGTACACTCATCATTTAGAGTCATTTTTATTACACTAATACACTAATGTCTCAAACATAAACGAAATCACCATACACGCAGCGGAAGTCATACATAAAAATAGAGGGCAAAAAAAATAGCAAAAAAAACCACGATGCACTACATGGCTGTTTGAACATGACTATTAAATTCTTTAATATTTCGACCATCCTTTGTGGAAATCTATTGCATCTTCACAAATCTAATGTAGATTTTGGAGTTTTGGCACTGATTAGCTTAATTTTGTGCTGTGAGCACCATATTGTCCTCTCAAGGACACTTGTCACTTCAGCGGACAACACAGAACTGCCAATTCTAGGGATTTTTTTAACCAAGGTTAGGGATTTTCAAAGTAACCATGTTGGCAACACTGCATGAACCATGAAATAATTATATAATTATTATATTTCTAGTAGCTACTAGGTAATAAGGACTTTAAAAGTTTAAAAATTTCCTTTTTTTTAATTTTAATTTTAACTCGAAAACAGCCTTATTAAGTTAATTTTAAAAAAATATTGACGGTTAATAACGCAAGTAATACATAGGCGACTTAAAACTATAAAAAGGCAATATTTTAAAAATCGAACTCAAAAACTTTATCTTCTTTAAAACAAAAATGGAATTTATTCCCTATGGCTCAAAATTAATTTTTTTATGTTCTTTAAATAAAAAATAATAATATTAAGTGAGGTAGACTAAAAAAAGAGGAAAAAGGCAATTTTATAAGAAAAACTAATTTTTTTGCATTAAATATTTATAAATATAAATTATTTATTTTGAGATGAAAAACCTTTTCACAAAGAGTCTACTTTGTCAAAAGAAACTATGAAATTGTTTTTTGTAAATTAATGTGTTCATTTTGAGGTGTCTTCTTACTTTTAAAAATGTCTCCGACTGATGTTGCCCTTTGTACTTTACTTCTTGTGACGTTTAAAACACTTGCCACTTAATACGGTGACCGTCCATCCTGGATTAAATGAATGGATTGGCAACATCAGTCGGAGACATATCCATTTTTAATGTAAGAAGACACCTCAAAATTTAAACATTAATTTGCAAAAAACAATTTGAAAGCCGTGTATGACATGTCCAAGTATGGGATGATTCAACAAAACTGTCACTGTCATCCTCCATAGGCTATGGATGGACCATAGCAACCTTAGTTCTTCATACAGGAAAAATATTGTAAAATGCAATGTTTTTTTAAAAAATTCATATTTTCCACAAAAATAAATATATCAAGGCGAACCAAAAACAAAACTGTTAAAGATATATGTGACTTGATAATTAAAACTTAATTTAGAACAATATACAATTTTGCCACTCCACAGAGTGTCTTAAACTTATGGTAAAAAAAACATTGTTTAAACCTGTATATTATAAACGTACGTGTATTTTTTAGTAATTTTTAAAATGTGAGCGATTCTCCATTAATGTATCTACAATATTCTTTAATATTCGTTTAAATCCGAAATCAAATAAAAAAGTTATTTGCGATTGAAATTTATTAAATTTTGCCTGTGAGTGTATAAAAAAAATGGTATTTTCTAAAACTCGTCCCAGGCCCGACCTGCTACTTCTCGACGAACCCACCAACATGTTGGACATCAAAGCCATCATCTGGCTGGAAAACTACCTGCAAAACTGGCCGACGACGCTGCTCGTGGTCTCTCACGACCGCAACTTCCTCGACACCGTGCCCACCGACATCCTGCACTTGCACTCGCAGCGAATCGAACCTTACCGAGGAAACTACGAGCAGTTCGAGAAGACGAAGAACGAGAAACTGAAGAACCAGCAGAGGGAGTACGAGGCGCAGATGCAGCAGAGGCAGCACGTGCAGGAGTTCATTGACAAGTTCAGGTAATAATATAATGACACCAGTAATTGCCATTATAAGCTAGTGTTTACACAAAAAAGCTAAAAAAGTAGAAGAAATTTAGATTTCGTCCTTATAAAAAGCCATGGTGGTTAATAGATACTTATAGAACCAAACATTAAAAATTTAAGACATAATTAAGTACAATATATATTTTTTTATTGAGGTATAGAGGACTAGTAATTGCCATGACCATTTTTTAAAAAACCAGTAGTTGCCAGTGTACCTGGCCAGTAATTGCCACTAATTTATTTTATTAAATAAAACAAAAAAAATGGAAAATGGCATACTACCTTGGCAAGCAGCCAATGCAGATTCTTTACTTTCTTGGGAATAGCGAAAAAAGGGCTTGTTTTTTGGTTCCATGTTGATCAATTTGGATTTTATACCTGGATCAATAATTGCCACTAAAGTGAACCAGTAATTGACACATTCAAAAAGAGGTGGAAATTACCGGATTCTCTTTGAATATAATGTTCTTATTAATGTCAAGGATAAACTAAATATTATAGGTTAGTTTAGAGCTTTAATAAAGGTCATAATACGATAATCCAAAATTCTCCAGTAGGTAATTACCACAAATGGCAAATATTGGGTTAAAAGAAAAAAAATGCTCCAGTAATTGCCACTACTCTAAATCAAAATACTCTTTTAATTTAACGAACAATTTATATGCGTTTCATTTAAACTACTTAGCATATATGCCTATTGCACAAACAAAACTCAAATTGATTAACAACATATGCCAATATCACAAAAAACTAATCTTACACTTTCTTAACCAGTCACAAGAAATCTTTTATAAACAGCTGATTCAACAAGTTTTCAACAATATTTTTTTCCTGTCGAAAAATGCATAATAAATGGCAACTACTGGTACAGTGGCAATTACTGGTGCCTTTACCCTAGTTCATATATTTAATATTTTATTTACAATCATTTAGTAAAATCATTTCTAAACATGGTAACGTGCTTTCTATTTTTAGTAAAATGGACTTTTTTAATGGGAAAAAACAATTATTATATCAAAAATTTAATGTTTTGCTTCATTGTATAGTTTAACCCATTAAGAATATTTATTAATTATTGTATTATAATGACTTTGTATACCAAAATCCCCATCTTTACCAACATAACAATTCTATGGTTATATTAACTATATTGCCAATAAAATTTAAAAATAAAGATTTTCAGTCCCTTTTTTCTGATAAATTACGAAAACGGAAAATGCTTTTTTAATAATTTAAAATAAATTGAATACGTTTACTTATAGCTTTTTATTTAAACTACTGCAATAATATATCTATATTTTCAGGTTTCTGGTTTTGATTTAATAAATCAAATTTTTTGTTTGCCACGTGGTGGCCAATATCTTTTCTGGGGTAATTTTGATCAAATTAACAAAAAAATAGTTCTTTCCTTTAAAAATCGTTTTTTGACAAAGTTGGACAATTTTAAAAGTGCTGTAACACAAACAATGTTTGTTGAATGAAATTTACAAACATTTTTAGCTTCATCTTTTTACTTTATCATGTTAAAACTTAAACGCATAAAATTGGCAAAATGGCGCTTGAGTGCCATTTTGACATTTTATAATAAAGTAGATAGAATAAGGTTTAGTTTTTACAAAAGAGGAGTAACATGGTTGACCTTAGCTCTTTAAGGCCTCTTTTAAGGCTTACAAGTGCCTACAATGTTTAACATGATTATTAATCTGTATAAACAGAGCACAAACCCAAAGCACACGAATTGTAAACAACAAAAAATGGCCGCTGTTAAACTCTGTGTTGCAGTGATTTTTAGTACTAGATAGAATAGACCTTGTTGTGTGGATTGTGGTTGATAGATAAAGCTACAAAATTTTGTAAATTTTATTAAAATCGGACAAGAAATTGTTAAATTTTAAAATTGTTTAATTTGTGTAAAAAAAACATTTTATTTTGTTAAAAACAGGATTTTTAAGGGAAATAAATAAATGTGTTTAATTTTTTTTAGTTTACATTAACAATGATCCTTTCTTAAAGTATTTACGTAATAAAATTTAAATATACGAATTTTAATGTTTTTATGTCGCAATATCTTGAAAACAAAATGATGGTCATTTTTTGGAATCAGCCCATTCAAATTACCCTAGAAAATTATTTTTTTAATTTTCTCTAAATTTAACTACAAGGTATTTTTTTTCAAAGATGTTTTCCTTTGGTTTACTGTAAACATGCTAATTAATTAGTTGTCTTAAATAAAACAGATGTATTTTAACAAAAAAATAAATAAAGTCAATTATAGAGAATTAATATTTTTTAAATTAAAAACATTGAGTTGTAAATATAAGCTAATATGAACATTAGAGTGGCTCGAATACCCGCTTTTTTCAAATTAATTTGGTAATAGTAAAAAAATATTCTTAGAGGTGAAAAAAATTATGTGCACAAAAAATTTTTTTGGTGTACATCCTAGGCTTGCCAAACGCACTTAAAATAAAAAGTTACAAAATATTTTTTTATGCTATTGTCTAAATAAAAGGTCATTATTAATTATCTCATAAATATTGCGGTTTTTAGAGATAATTTCGAATTTATCTTAAAATTGTAATTTTTTTATCAAAACTTATTTTAAAAGTAAAATGTGATATAATTTGATGGAAAATTTAATTGTCTACTAAAAGGACCTTATGAATTATCGCATAAATATTGTAGTTTCAGAGATAATTGCGATGTTATTCATATTGTCATTTTTGTTTCACAAAACTTACTTGTTTTATTAGTAACAATTTTTTTATATACGTTTTTTGTTGGTTAATTTTGTCCCATAAATATTGTAGTTCCAGAGATAATTGCCATTTTATTTTAAAATTGTCATTAATTAATAGTACCAAAAAATAATCCGTCTAATTTTGTCAAATTACCATTTTTGACTTGTCATGACGAAAAAGCAGTTTCTAACATTTTCAAATTCCACTGAATGAAATGGTCGAATTAGAAGATTTAAATTTAAAAAAAATTATATGACGGTTCTGGGGTTTAAAAACGAGTCTCTCGGTTCTCAATTTTGGGGTAAAGATACTCCCAAAGTTTCAGATTTTTTAAATTAATTTTTAACCTGAGCCCCGACCATTTTAACAAAAAAAATAAGAAAAAATACTAAAAAAGTGGGAAAAAGTCATATTTTTTTTCAAACGAGGTTTTTTTACTTTTAGACTCTTCTATAGGCACTCCCAAAGTTTTAGATTTTTAAATTAATTTTTAACCCCGACCACTTTGTGGGAAAAAATCATATTTTTGTTTTCAAACTAAGTTTTTTCATACTTTTAACTTAAAATAAGTACATTTTCAAAAAATTACAATTTTGGGATAAAATCGCAATTATCTGCGAAATTACAATTTTTAGGTCAAAATTGAGGGACCTTTTTTGTAGACAATTAAATTTCCTAACAGATAGCGTGAAAAAAAAATTTTGTTACTTTCAATTTTTGGCGAGCCTAGGATATTTTTTACATGCATTTTTTTTCACCCCAAAAAATATTATTTTTGCTCTTACCATATTAATTTCGAAACAAGCGGATATTTGACCCACTCTTAATGAACATATTGAAATGCACTAAATTTGGCAAATTATTTAAAAAATTTACTTTTGTTCCATACAATTGTATATTATTTATTTGACGTATTTTATTTTCCATTTCTTAGGTATAACGCTAACAGGGCGGCCCTGGTACAGTCCAAGATAAAAATGTTGGAAAAACTGCCGGAATTAAAACCGATTGTTAAAGAGTCTGAAGTCACGTTAAAATTGCCGGACACCGAACCCTTATCGCCGCCAATCTTGCAACTGAACGAGATCCTGTTCAGGTACAATAAGGACAGAGTTATCTTCACCAATGTCAACCTGGGCGCCACCATGGACTCTAGAATATGTATCGTCGGTGATAATGGCGCGGGTAAAACCACCCTGCTGAAAATAATCATGGGCATCTTGTCTCCCACGGAGGGTATGAGGCACGTGCACAGGAACCTCAAGTTCGGGTATTTCAGCCAGCACCACGTTGACCAGCTAGACATGAACGTCAACTCCGTCGAGCTTTTGCAGCAAGCCCATAAAGGTAGTCATTCAATTATCTTAGTTTCTTTAAAAAAATTTCAAAGTTTTTTGTTTTGAACACACCCAAACAAAGGATTCCCTGAGCTTATATACTGGGTTGTTAAGCCAACAGAGGCGAGATGCTCTTACACAGGGCTCCCACACCTCCTAAAACTCATAAAATTCCTAAAATTTTACTTAATTCTTAAAAACTCCTAAAATTCTCCTAAAACTCCTAAAATCCTAAAAATTAAATTTAAATATTCCAACCTGACTTGCGTTTAATTAAGATAGTGCTAAAAAAATTCTGTTTTAAAAAGTAATTTAAAATATATATTTTTAGGTTCTATTCTATTAAACTCTTTTTAAAATGATATAATATCACAACCAAATTTTTTCTTAAAAAACAACAACGATATTTCGTTTTTTAGTCAAAAATATACCGTATTATACAAACGTGTATAATATACAATAATTTTAAAGTTTAAAATACATTTTTGTTAGAAGATAAAAATTATTTTACAGAATATGAATATTATATTTCATAAAATAGTCTAACAAAAATGCATTTAGAACTATAAAACTGATTTTTTGAAATATTTTATCAAACATTTTACTTTTGGACTTGTACTATTCTTAATCTTACCGATTTAATTACTGTTAGTTATTAACTAAACGGTTAACATATTTTTTCTTAAAATCATCATATGATTTTGGCATAGTTTTTAAACCAAATCTATCGACGCTTTTTTTTTAAATAAAATTAAAAGTGTGGTGAAATTTATACTTGTATATATATGCAGTGTTGTAACAGTTACAATATTTTCAGTATCTAGCTACAGTTACAGTTACTTACCAAAATTTGTAAGTAGATACAGATACATATTTTATTGCAGTAACTAGTTACAGATACAGTTACCTTTCAAAAAGTATCTAGATACTTTAAGATACATACAAATTATTTTTTGCTTTAAAAAATTTAAAATAGAAATAAAAGGGAATTTTAAAGTGACAACAAAAATATACATGTTTATTATTTTTATTTTGTTTTAAATATTTTATTTAAAATAACTTATTTTTTATAATAAATAATAGTCGCAGTTTAATTAAAAATGTATCTTTGTATCTTAACACACCTAGTTACTTAGAATTTGTAACTAGTTACAGTTATAGTTACTAGATTGGGATAAGTAACTAGTTACACAAACAGATACATAAAAAGTATCTAGATACTGTATCTACGTTACAACACTGTATATATGTACCTCAGATATATACAAAAGTAGTAATTTTACCTCACTTTTAATTTTATTTAAAAAAAATTCGTCGAGCGTTTGGGCTAAAAAACTAGTCAATATAACTTATTTTTACAAAATAAGTATTAATTTTTTTCTTATTTTTGAAGTAGTAGGTATAGAGTTGTTTTTATTTAATTAAAGAAATTCATTTCCCTACTTTATTTCTCCTAAAATTTTACAAAAAAACCTCCTAAATTCCTAAATAAAATTTGTAATTTTGCCGTGGGAGCCCTGCTTACATCTCGCCTCTGTTGACTTACCAACCCAGTATATAAGGTCAGGGAATCCTTTGTTTTGGATGTGTTCCACTACACCAAGTTGACCGACACTTTGCCGAGGTGTAGGTTCAATTTTTATTCCCATAAAGGTACAGGTCGAGATTTCGTGGCGGGTCATTTTTAAACCAACCGGAACTGTTTTCAGGAAAACCCATCGAAGAGTACAGGAGGCAGCTGGGAAGTTTTGGCGTTTCGGGCGATTTGGCGTTGCAAACGGTGTCCAGTTTGTCAGGAGGGCAAAAATCGCGGGTGGCGTTCGCCAGTATGTGCATGGGAAGGCCCAACTTCTTGGTTCTTGATGAACCCACGAATCATTTGGACATTGAAACGATAGAGGCGCTGGGAAAAGCCATCAACAAATATACGGTAAGATAAAGTAATATTTAATTAATATTTTTTATGTTTTAAGCATAAAAGAATTATAAAACTACCCACTGCTCTATTCTAATCAAATTATTTTGCTGAAATAAAAAATAATGTTTTATTGGTTTAATAATTTTTTATAATAATTTTTTTCTAAATTAAAAGTGCTGAAATGCGAATAATTTCTGTCCGATATAAATGAAATTTGCAGAATTTTGTATCTTCATATATCAACTTTATTGTGTCCAAATTTCACTGCAAACAAATAAAAATCCGTAAAATGCTACTCAATACAACCGCGCATGTCAAAATTTCTTTCAAAACTTAATGCGCTAATATTTCTTTGAAAAAAATCGTGCTTGACATTTTTTTACATTTATTTTGATGGTGACTCACGCAAAAACGTTTTGTATGTATTTTTTAACATTTTATTAAACTTTCTTGATTTTTTATTTATTTGAAATACGTATAAATACATATTTCAAATAATTGCTGCTCACAGAATTTATTTAGGGAGTCGTACAAGCGCCAGGAGCAAAAATGGCCGTAAATATAAATTCGCATTTTGGCAATTTTAATTTTATTTCATTGAAATTGAAACACAATAAAGATCTTCTAAGAAGAAAATCGAAAAAAACTTGTTTGTTATCTAAAAAAACATTTTTTTTTATTTTCTTAGAGCAAAAAAAACAATCTTTATTTTTAAGGGAAATAACCTCATAAATGTGTATAGTTTTTTTATTTTTAATTTAATTAGCCATGACCACCTTAACAAAAAAAAATCAGAAAAAATACTAAAAAAGTGGGAAAACCATATTTTTTTTAAACGAGTTTTTCCTACTTTTAGACTATTTAGACTCGCAAAGTTTCAGGTTTTTAAATTAATTTTTAACCAAAATCAGAAAAAATCCTAAAAAAGTGTAAAAAAAATCATATTTTTTTTTTAACGAGGTTTTTTTTTACTTTAAGACTCTTCTAAAGGAACTCCCATAGTTTCAAATTTTTATATTTTTTTTTTAACCTGAGCCTGACTAATTTAAATTAAAAAGTGGAAAAAAATCATACTTTCTTTTAAACGAGGTTTTTTCTTACTTTTAGACTCTTTTAAAGGTACTACCAAAGTTTCAGGTTTTTAAATTAATTTTTAACCTGAGCCTAGACCACTTTAAAAAAAAATTAGAAAAAATCCTAAAAAGAGGAAAAAAATCATATTTTTTTTTCAAACGAGGTTTTTTCCTACTTTTAGACTCTTTTAAAGGTACTCCCAAAGTTTCAGATGAAGTTTTTTCTTACTTTTAGACTAAGATTCAGATTTTTAAATTAATTTTTAACCAAAATTAGAAAAAATCCTAAAAATGTGGGAAAAAATCATATTTCTTTTTTCAAGCAATTCCATGATTACTAACGGGACAAACAAAACAAATGTTTTATGAAAATTTTAAAGTTGTGTTGTTAATATAGTAACAATTTTATAATAGTTATTATTACTTTTCATTGCTGAGGACTGTTATAAAATTATTATTATAGGAACAACACATCTTCAAAAATTTTTATAAAAATTTTGTTTTTTTTTGCTTGTCCTGTTAGTAATCATGGAATCGCAAGGTTCTTTATTACTTTCAGACTTTTCTAAAGGTACTACCAAAGTTTTAGATTTTTAAATTAATTTTTACCCTGATCCACGACCACTTTAACAAAAAAAATCCAAAAAAAGTGTATTTTAAAGGTACTGCCAAACTTTCAGATTTTTAAATTATATCAATATATTGTTTATTTATTAGAAGTTTTTTCTTCTAAGGTTTATTTCATATGCAAACATTCAACTTTTCTTATATATTTTTGTTCAAATACTTATTATATAAGACAATGGGATCAACAGAAATATAATCATTTTATAATATTTTTGTCTTTTTTCAGGGCGGTGTAATTCTGGTTTCTCACGACGAACGATTAATTCGTATGGTTTGCAAAGAACTGTGGGTCTGCGGGGATGGAACCGTTAAGAGCATAGAGGGTGGTTTCGATGAATATAGGAAAATTGTAGAAAAGGAACTTGAAGCTGCGGCTCAAGGCAAATAACAATAGATAATTTTATAATTGGAAAATATACCGCTTAACGTTTTATATCCGTCAATATGTAAGACGCAACATTGACCATTATTAAGTAATTGAATTTATTTATTAAATATATTGTACAACGTTTTTAATATTTTTTTTGTTTTTTTAGCAGCATTAATAAAGGTTTGGCTCTGTTATTATTTAATAAAAGTAAGATTTCTAATGGTTCGTTCATTTTATAGAGAAAATATGTTAAGAAAAATTACAAAATATTTTTCTTTACCTACTATTAATTTAATGTGCCTGTTTTATCGAATTACTTATTTATGTTTTCTTATATTTATACCACCAATCAAAAACTATTATGTTCATTCAAAAAATTAAACAAATATCCTAAACTATTGTTTTATTTAATAGTGTAAACAGTAAATCCTTAAAAATACAAAATTTAAAATAATTGAAATTTATCCCACTGTGCGAATTTGTCCTTTTATTTTTTAAATTTATTTCATTGTGCGAATTTTTCCCACCATTTTTTAAATTTATCCCACTGTTCGAATTTGTCCTCCCAATTTTTAAATTTGTCCCACTGTGCTAATTTATCCTCTCACTTTTTAAATTTGTCCCACTGTGCGAATTTGTCCTCCCAATTTTTAAATTTGCCCCACTGTGCACTTATTTTTAAAATTTGTCCCACTGTGCACTTTGTATAAAATATGTGCAGCGCCATCTATTTCAGTATGACTGAACTAAAAAAGTTTTGTTTCAAACCCAAATCGCTACCAAAAATTATGCAGTTTTGTTCAGCCACTCTGGGATAGATGGCGCTGCTATTAAGTACTTTGTAGGTAGGCAACCCAGTTAGACCATCTTCGTTAATGAATTGCCGACCTACAAAGTGCAGCGCCATCTATCACTGTGTAGCTGAACTAAAATTACAAAATTTTTGGTTTGGATTTTTTTACATAGATGGCGCTTTTTAAGGTTTTTTATTTTTGCCTTTTTAGTTCAATCACACTGAAATAGATGGCGCTGCCAACCATATTTTGTAGGTAGGCAATCAAATAACAAAAATAGTCTAACTGGGGTGTCTACCTACAAAGTAGCAAATAGCAGCGCCATCTATCCTAAAATGGCTGAACCAAACTGCAAAATTTTTGGTAGCGAAATCGGGTTTGGAACAAAACTTTTTTAGTTCAGTCATACTGGAATAGATGGCGCTGCACGTATTTTATACACAGTGGGACAAATTTTAAAAATAAGTTCACAGTGGGACAAATTTAAAAATTGGGAGGACAAATTCGCACAGTGGGACAAATTTTAAAAATGAAAGGATATATTCGCACAGTGGGACAATTTAAAAAATGGTAAAAAATTTCAATTATTCTAAACTGGGTAGAAATTTAATTAACTACCAATTTTTTGAGCACTGGGGAATAAATTTTTAAAAATCGCACATTGGGATAAATTTATAAAAATGGGAGGAAAAATTTGCATGGTATCCCATTTAAAAAATTGCACAGTGGGATGATAAACTTAAATAATGAAAGGACAAATTCGCACAGTATGACAAATTTAAAAAATGGGAGGACAAATTCGCACATTGGCGCAAATTTAAGAAATGTTGGGACAAATTTGCACAGTGGGATAAATTTTATAAATGGAAGAACAAATTCGCACAGTGGGACAAATTTAAAAAATTGTGGTTCAAATTCGCACAGCGGGGTAAATTTAAAAAATGAAAGGAGAAATTCGCACAGTGGGATAAATTTAAAAAATATAGGGACAAATTCGCACAGTAATATAAATTTTAAAAATGAAAGGACGAATTCGCACGGTGGGTTAAATTTGGAAAATGGTGGGAAAAATTCGCACAGATGGATAAATTAAAAAATAGTAGGAAAAATTTGCCAAAAAAAAAATAAAGGGTCGAATTCGCACAGTGGGACAAATTTAAAAAATGGTGGTCTGTGGGTTGTTCAAATTCGGTAAATTTAAAAAATGAAAGGAGAAATTCGCACAGTGGGATAAATTTAAAAAATATAAGGACAAATTCGCACAGTAATATAAATTTTAAAAATGAAAGGACGAATTCGCAAGGTGGGATAAATTTGGAAAATGGTGGGAAAAATTTGCACAGATGGAAAAATAAAGGGACGAATTCGCACAGTGGGACAAATTTAAAAAATGGTGGTTCAAATTCGCACAGTGGGGTAAATTTAAAAAAATGAAACGAGAAATTCGCACAGTGGGATAAATTTAAAGAATGAAAGGACAAATTCGCACAGTAAGATAAATTTTAAAAGTGAAAGGACGAATTCGCACGGTGGGATCCCACCGATAAATTTGGAAAAAAGAAGAACTAGTTTAGTTTGTTTTAATCAATGCGACTAATTTTGGTTCTGTATTTACCAACCAAAACACTAAATTTGGAACGTTGCCGCAGTCCAGATAAAAAAAATGAACTTTACAAGGTTGGTTTATTCTTTTTTTATGGTTGGTGAAGCTGGAACTTTGTTTCTCCATAGGGTTCAAATGAACTACCACCTGTCAGAGAAATTCAAAAATTTGACTAACGTTTTTCTCATATCATAACCTTCTTTGTCTCTGAACTGGCTAAATAATCTGAAATAGATTAAAGGCCAAGATCTACAGAAGAAGACTAACGTTTTTCAGTGAAAAAATGAGCGAAACAAAACCAGGACAAGTAAATATCTTACAATATGCTAAACCACAATGTCTTATACCTTGACAATTCCAGAAAAGAAAGGCAACAACCAAAGATAACGCAAAACCACCGAAAAAAACGAAGAGCACGAAAAACAAAGAAAACCAAGAAGCTGAATGTTCAACAGAAATAAACGCAGAATGGAAAGACTACGAGTTACTTGCAGAACAAAAACATTTGGACCTGACAATATCACAAAACATTGTTCAGTTATTCGAAGAGGGGAACACTATCCCGTTCATTGCAAGATACAGAAGAAATGCCACTGGTAACATGACCCCTGAGGATCTCAGGGAAGTAAAGGAGTGCTTTGAAGATATTTGTGCGTTAAAATCAAAGATCTGCACTGTTGTTAAAGCTGTGGAAAAACTGGGTCAATTAAATCCTGTGCTACGGAAATCTATAGCTTCTGCTAGAACTATTGAAGAGTTGGAGCATATTGTAAGTATTTATGGGTGATTTGTATGTCAAAATATTAAAGATATTCGCCTTTTTTAGTATGCACCTTATAAACCTGGTGGTAAAAGAACTCTAGCAGAACGAGCTAAAGAATTGGGTTTGGAAGAACCTGCCTTAACTTTAATAAATAATACCAAACCAGTATTTTTGAATCAATATGTTAAACCTGATGTAGCAGATTTATGTAAGCTCGAAGAAGTTGAAAAAAGAGTTATGCATATTATTGCTTTCGTTATTTCTACTGATACTGATATGTTGTCATTTTTAAGGAATTTGTGAGTATATTTTGTTATTTTTTAGGTTTTGCATTTAATATTTTGTTTTTTTCAGGCGTCCAGATGTCAATTTTACCATAGAAACTAAACATTCTTCCACAAAACCAGCAACCAAAGCTAAAAAGACTGATTCCTCTAAACCTGTGGATGAATCAAAATTTGAAACCTATTTTGATTTTAGAATACCAACCAAATTTGCCAAACCCCACCAGGTAAGTCAAATCAGTATTGTAAATGTAATGTAAAAGTTTAAGTTTAAAATATTGGTTTTTAAAAATTGTAGTTTTAATATTTTATTCTACAAAATTTTTGGTTTAAATTTAAGAGTCATTTAAATGATAGTTGATACATTTTTAATCCAAAAATTACCTACCACTTTAAAATTTAAAACTTACATTTAAATGTAATGTGAGAATTTTTGGATTAAAAATGTCTCAACTATAATTTAATTGACTTTTTACAAATTTAAACCAAAAATTCAAAATATTTGAACTAAAATTTTTTAAAATCAATTTTTTTAAGCTCTGTTTTACAGTTGTATTTTATAAAAAAAACGTTGTAGGTACCTAAATTTCTGTTAAAACATCATTAAAGTGCTAAACTTTAATCTTCAAACTAATATCTAATAAATGCTAAAACGGCGGGCCATAGGGGTCCGGTCGTTTCGCGAAAAAATTAATAAAAAAAGTCGAAAAAAGAAAAAAAAAGTATAAAAGTATAAAATAGCAAATAATCACATTGATATTATCAACTTGATAAGTTGCTCTATTGCTGCCTGACAGGCAAACAATTTCGCTTTTGCTCATGCAAGATGCGAGACATTTGTAGATTATGGCCAAGGGAATCTTCAAAACTTTGACTATAAGGGTCAAAACAACTAATAAAAGGGTAAGGTAGGGTGCTGTTTTATCAATGGGCGCCATTCAATAATTCATTTGAGTGAGTAAACACAAAACAAACTCAAAGGGACGCCATTTTTTGGTTCACTTTCGGTGAAATAGGCGTTACGCGTCCATTTTATTTAATTGTCTAAGGTCAAACCCATGTGTTGTAATAAGTTATTACTAATAACTATAGTTATAATAACGATATTTTATAAATATATTCATGAATTTTAATAAAACATTTAAGAATAACAGACTAGGATGTAAAAACCTGATTGGTCTGTATTATTTTTAGAGCCTTGGACATAATCAAATCCTTTGGTAGTGACTATTGACAATAATGAGACCAGAATTAATTAGTGTAGAACTTGACTTTTGACATTTAAATGTCAACAAAAAAAGCCGACTTTTTGACAATGGTATTAGAAAAAATAATAAACGGTTTTTGTTTAAACCATTTAAAAATGTAATTTACAAGGCAAAACTTATTTAGAATGACAGTTTTTGTTTTTCCAAATTACTTAAGAATGTTTAACATAATTAAAAATGTTTAATTCCAAGTTCATTGAAATATTCTTTTGCTTAATTTAACGTTTTACCGATAAAATTTTTTAATAATTATTGAATATTTATTGTAATAACAAGCCAATTGGCATTAATATTAATATTAACACTAATGTTAATATTTTGTAGATTTTGGCAATAAACCGAGGAGAATCTCAAAAAGTATTATCTGTTAAAATAGTGGTTCCAGATTTTGTGTTCAATAAATTCAACAACTTTTGCACATATAAGTGGCTCAAAGTTGGCCCTTTTAATCATGACAGAAACAGAATAATCAATGATGCCATACAAGACTGTTACACCAGACTAAGTATGATTACATCACTTAATTAAATTATCTAAAAAGTACTAAATAATATTTAAAATTTTAGTTCAACCTCTCATCATAAGAGAGGTAAGATCAGAGCTGAAATTGAAGGCTGAAAAAGCCTCATACGACGTTTTTTCGACGAATTTAAAGCACTTACTGCTGGCGCCACCTTTGAAAGGAAAAACTATTTTGGCCATTGATCCTGGATTTGCCAATGGGTGTAAACTGGCTGTGGTATCTCCTACTGGTACTCTTTTGGATAATAATGTTATATATCCACATACCAGAAAAGGTGGAGGGGAGATGGTTCTACAAAAAATTTTGTTAAGAAACAAGTAAGTACCAAAACATTTATACAGGTAATGCAGTCGTATTTTACTTTTTTTTGTTCTTTTTTTTATGAAAGAATTAATCTAAAATTTACGCTCTTAGTGTGTACAAAATGTATGTTATAACAACAGGTAAATATAGAAATTTCGTTAACTTTGACATCATTTTAGTTTAGTTCCATATTTATTTCAGTTGTGATTTAATAACACTGGGAAACGGAACTGCCTGTAGGGAGACAGAAACTTGGTTATCAAAGCTCATCCAAGACGGACTTTTTCAACCCTTGGACGTTCAGTACACCATAGTGAATGAAGATGGCGCTTCGATATATTCTTGTAGCGTTGAAGCTAAAAAAGAATTTCCTGATGTTGATCCAAATATTATTAGTGCCGGTAAAACCACATATAAAAATACTGTGGAGTTGACATTTTAATTGTGGTGGTTTTAGTGTCTTTGGCCAGGAGAGTTCAAGAACCTTTAGCAGAGTTGGTTAAAGTTGAACCGCAACATTTAGGAGTTGGGATGTATCAACATGATCTAAAGAAAAAACAATTGGAGGAAGCTTTGGATGGAGTTGTATCAGAATGTGTCAGCTTTGTTGGAGTTGATTTGAATACCGCTTCACAATGTTTACTGAGGTAAGGGATGTGAGCTTTTTTGTGAAAAATATTATATTTTTAACATTATTTTAATCAATAAAAAAATCCTTTGTTACAGAAAAAAAATAAAACTAAACTTTAAATTGAATTTAATTGACTTAAAATAAACGTAAACGTTAAATATACTGCAGGTTGGGTTCTTTTTTCAAAAGGGAGTCTATTGGAAATATCCAATTAAAAAATAATGAATAATATAATAAGTTAATTTACAAAATTATAATTTATAATTCGATTTTTTAAATAAAGCGATAGTTATGTAAATATTATATTACATAATAGCACCAAATATGTTTTTTGCGACCCGGTAGAATATTCAACTGAAATAAAATAATAGGAATAATTATTATCATGATATTATATGATTATTAAGTTGTTTAAACAAAAGCAAATTGTTCTTTTTCTTGAAAACAGGCTCAAAAGTTAGTTCCTTCTGATTTTTGTAACTCACCATCCAAAGGTCATACAGAAAATTTGTTGGATATTTTTGTAGAGAATTAAACGCTTCACAACAAATGTTTTTTATGATTTTTTGCTAAACTAATCGGTTAAAAAGTTATTAAAGATCAAAGTTTAACTCAACATCAATTTTGCCGATTTTTTGGTATTGCAGCGACTCTTGTAATGTCAAATTTATGTTCCGAATAAAATTTCGGCAAAATTGATGGTGAGTTGAACTTTGATCTTTAATAACTGTTTAACCAATTGGTTTAGCAAAAAATTATTAAAAAGCCTTTTTTGTAGAGCGTTTAATTCTCTACCAAAATATCCAAAAACATTTTCTGTATGACCTTTGGTTGGTGAGTTATAGAAATCAGAAGGAACAAAACAATTTTTTCCCATGTTTTTCTTATGGAAAATCGAAAAGTGCGATGCGGAGCATTAAGATATTAAAATTAAGAGCTAATATTTTCACAGGCTCATTTTTATACCTAAACGAAACTTTTTAGTCTGTTTGCAAAGAAAAACAATTCGCTTTTTTTTAAACACCCTAATAAATGTATATATAGAGTTTGACCCATTTGTTTGTGACTCACACCTGTACAATCTTTATTTATTGTGCGATTTTAACCTGATTTGTTTTAAAAGGTAGATCTTGATAAACTGTAGCAAAAAAATATATATTTTTACAAAATACAAGGCCTACTATGTCAGAGTAAATTTTTAAGAATTCATATTAGCAATTAAAAAAATCTATGCAAGGACTGGATTCACCACCCATCAAAACGACCTTATACTAAATTTTATTAAAAAAATTTAAGTAGTAACGATTTTGTAGCACAAATATGCACAATAATTACTATGTATTTACAAAAATTTATTCTGTCAAGTTATACATGAAACAAACATTGAAATAAAATTAAACAAATAGATAGTAACATGGTATAAACATTCTTATCCTTAGTTTTGAAAAATAAAAAACTCAATATAAACTTAAAACAACAATGAAACAAAAAATAGAGAATTCCAAAAAAATTTTACAATTAGATTTTCGTCACTAATCCACCATTTATTTTAATACACCTAATAATTCCTAAAAATAAACATTTTTAAATGGTATTTTTATACATTATTTATCTAGGCTAACCATGAAACAGTTAATTGTCAAAGTTAAAACGTTAAGGTGTAGGAAAGTTATTAGTTTTTCTAGTGTAATAATAAAGATGGAAAATCTAACTTTAAGAGACAGAATAGAAATTGTAGGGCGGAACATTCCTTTGATTGAGTGGCCGCCGAGATCCCCAGATTTGACGCCACTCGATTTTTTTTGGGGTTAACAAAAGGTGTACAAATCAAGGCCACAAACTACACTATTTTTTGTTTCATTGTTGTTTTAAGTTTATATTGCGTTTACCATGTTACTATAAGTTTAATTTGATTTTAATGTTTCGTCATGGATTACTTGACAGAATCAATTTTTGTAAATAGTAATTATTGTGCATTTTTAATTTGGCTACAAAATCGTTAATAATTAAAAATTTTCAAAATCGCTAATATGAATTCTTAAAAATTGACTCTCAAAAACTGACATAGTAGGCCATGTATTTTGTAAAAATATATTTATCAAGATCAGGGGCGTAGCTACCGCCGTATCAGCCGTATCAATGATACGGGGCCCCCGGCTAGGGGGGGCCCCCGATTGGCTTCGACATGCGTAAGAAAAAACATATTACCCACATGTTAAAAAAATTGAAACATGAAATTAAATAAATAAATAATATTATTATTTAATTGTTTATACTTCGATTTATTAAATTAAACCAACAAGGCCGTGAACTCATACGAATTGTTTCTGCCCGCACCTTTCCGCTATTCGTTGTCTGCGGCGCAGTCTGCGCATATTGTTCTGTGCTCTGCATACTGAGTCTGCTTTGCGTGTTGATATCATAGGTTTTATTAATAGCAAATTAGAAATTATTATTAGCGTTACAATTATTTCAAATGACGCCTTTATTTTAAAATATAAACCTTTTAAAAGATGCTGTAGAACGGTAAATGTCTAAAACCAGACCAAATTTTAAAATTTTCCTGTACATAAAAGGATATACATTAAGGTGGTCCATCTTTTGAGAATTTTTGAATTTTCTTGCTCTCAGTTGCTCATAGTGTTTAAAATAAATTAAAAAAAAATATTAAGGTGGTCCATCTTTTGAGAATTTTTGAATTTTCTTGCTCTCAGTTGCTCATAGTGTTTAAAATAAATTAAAAAAAAAATATTTTCCAAGTTTCAAGTCCCTATCTCAATATTAACCCTTGCCACGTTGCAGTGTAAGTTTCCTATATACATAACAGGGTTTTCTGCATTGAATAATTAATTATTTATTTCGGCCAAAGTAACTTTTCAAAAAAATTTAAACTTGCCAGAATTTAACCTTGTAGCTATATATAGTAGCTATATACGAGTAGTAGCTATTCCTAAGAATTTTTACAGATTTTTAGCTATAATTATTTTATATTATAACTTATTTCATTTTTTTAAACACTTACCTGATTGAAAAATTAATTACCTATTCAAAAACCACGTTATCCAGATAGGAAACTAACATTGCATTGCGGCATGGGTTGACAATGTCAACCCATGCCGCAATGTCAACTTGACATTAAGATAGGAATTTTTTAACCTAAAATTTTTTTCGTTTTCCCAAAATAGACTTTGGGCGTGACACCCAAAAATTTTCTTGCCAGCAGCTTTTCCCGTATAAGGGCCCCTACCAGATTTTCGATACGGGGCCCCCTCGAGGCTAGCTACGCCACTGATCAAGATCTTTACTAAAATAAATCCAATTAAAATCGCACAATAAATAAAGATTTTGCAGGGGTGAGTCGCAAACAAATGGGTCACATTGTAAAATTCAAAAGTCAATTTTTCTAAAAATGTTCCTTTATTTTAAAACCCTAGATACAATAATACATCAATGCTTTACATATTTTTTCCAGACGTATTGCCGGATTATCTGACAAAAGAGCCTCGCAAATAATTCAGTTTAGAGAGGAAAACGGACCGTTCACCTACAGAAAACAATTGACGGAAGTCAAAGGCATAGGCGCTAAAATATTCGAGCAGTGCGCAGGTTTTTTGCGCGTCGGTCCTGTGGATTCTAAGGAAGCAGCCACGTTCTACAAAAAACCCAAAACTAACAAACTAGACTGTACTTATATTCACCCCGAGTCGTATGATGTAACCAAAAAAATATTAAAGAAATTCAAGCTTAACTTGTCTGATGTTGGGAGTGGTGATTTCATAGATAAAATAAAATCGCTTGTTCCGACTTTAGATTTAGATAACATGTGTTCTGAGTTTGACTGCACCAAGGAAACTTTAAACTTAATCTTGGACACTCTCGCGAAACGCTTAAACCACGACTTGAGAAGCGAAGTGTCTAAGGTGCCGCTGTTCAAAAAAGGTTTGACCAGTATAAACGACATTGGCCCAGGTACGGAGCTAACAGGTAGGGTCAACAATGTAACGCACTTCGGGTGTTTTGTCGACATTGGAGTGGGTTGTAACGGGCTTATACATTCCAGCAAAATGAACGGGTTTAATCTACAAATAGGCGATAGAGTTGCTGTTAAGGTATTAAGTGTCGAAATTGATAAAAAAAGAATTTCTATTGAGGCTCTTCAAAAGTTGTAATGTTTTTTTTGTTATTTATCATAATATAACCATTTTTTTCACAGTAGTTTTTTATTAATCCTTATTACTGCTTGTATCTCGAAAACTAAGCGCACACTTTATTGCATTAACTTTAGTTTTTCAGTTGTTAAAGTTACGAGACAAAAACCCAACACAAATTTTTTTATTGATGCACTGTTGCACGATGTAGAATCGGCGAAAAGCGGCCAAAAACACAATTTAAGACTTTTTTCAATTTATTTTCCTGTAGACAAAACATTAAATTTTTACGTGGTGTTAATAAAATTTAAAAAATTTAAAAATTTTTATATCAAGCTGACTTAATAACATTTATTTTGTAGTCCAAAATATTTTGAACAAGACTATGAAATTTTTTGATTTGTCAGTCTGCGAAAGTTTTTTTTTATATTGCGGTACATGATATCGGCGTTGTCTTTCAAGGAAACTACGATGTTATCATTGATAAAACTGTCTAAAAAGCTGGATGAATTTTTTAAAAGTACAAAGGATCGCTGGCTAAATTCAACTTACAACAAAACTCACCTTTCTTGGGACATCAAATTCAAACATCCCAAATATGGATTTCGTGGACCTATCGCAAAAAAATATTAGGTGTTGAAATCGTTGACCATCTATATAATTCATCACATTATTATAATCGTATTGTTTTAAAAAAATAATATTTATTATTAACAATAAATTTTATTTTATTCTAAACAGCTAAGATCATACTATATTAAATCTAATAAATTACGTATTTTTACAAGATTTTTATATTAAAACCAATATAAAATCGCCGCTACTAATCCAATTAAATTAAAATTCTGTACAAATTAAAGATTATTAATATATTAAACTTGAGTTAAAATTTCATAATGTTATTTTAAATAGTTTTTAATAGTAGTTTGATAAAAGCCATTTTAGACACGAATTTAATTTAGGTTGTCTAGAAAAGTATAAACGAGTTGCATACTATACTTTTTCTACGACAAATACTTATTATCTTAAAATGTTTTAAATCAAATATTTGTATAGAGCGCCATCTATAAAACAATAGGGAAATCTACGTTACCGCCAAATGTCAAATTTGTATGTGTTATAAAGGTTATAAATCGAAATGTATTCCTTGAAAATCTATTAACAACATTTTTCACAGTGAAAGTAAAGAAAATGTTTTATGAGCACTTTACGGTGGAGTCTGAACCCGAATTTAAGTTATATCCAGTTTACTTCCGGCGAAATTAAAATGTTTATATAAACTTTTCAAATATTGGCGTTGAGAAACTATTTAATGCTTTTGTATTTTTGTATAGCGATAATAAAATAATTTTCACATTTAGTATTATTTTACAAGAAGGGCACTTTATTTTAACGATTGTATGAAATTTGCAACTGTCAACTAACTTAAAGCTTACTTCAGCCCGTGACAAAAACGCCGTAAAGCCACAACTTGTTAATGTGTATTTAAAAGGTCACTTAGTGTCATGGAAACATGTACGATAATGAGAGTTTTAAAGGAGGGAGTAAAAAAAAATTTAATTTTAACTTTTAAGCTTTTTAAAATCGCCTTTACTGCTTCAATTAAATTTGAATTTGTTCAAAATCAAAACTATTAATATATGAAACTAGTCTTAAAAGTTCATGATGAAGTGTTTAAAATAATTCTGTTAATAAAATTTTAATCTTTTAAACCCTTATAAAATTGACGCCACTGAGCCAATTGAATTTAAATTTGTACAGGATCAAGATTTATACCAAAATATCATAATGATATATTTATTGTTTTTTAATGAACTTTTTGGTCCAGTCCACTGTGTGTTGTTGAGATAATCCACGTCGATAGTTGTAAAAAATTGTACAGAAATGTTGTAGATGCCATTTTTTGGCTGATATGAATTTCTTAGGTCACTGTCAATTCTCAAAATATAGGTTGGATATAAAATAAAAACTTTTTTCACATTTAGTTTATTGAAATAAAATTCTATTATCTATTCTTATACATTGATTTTAGGACCACATATGAAGTTTTTTCAATTACAATTATTTCTACAATCATAAAGAAATGCTACAAACAGTGAAAAGCTATAACAAAACGTTAGTAAAAATACACAAAAGGCACTCACAATGTAATTTAATCATTTGCTCGTAAAAATAAAAAATCTGCAAATTGTAACAAACTAATATAAACCAATTATTATCGAGAACAACAGATAATTTTATTATAAACATCTAGATAACAAAAAATATGTATTGTCAAAATTGTATTGTCCTTAAATTAGATCTTTGATAGATATAGATATATTAGCATTAAATAAAGGTAATTACACCTACAAATTATCCTATTTAATACTAAAAATATGTAATAACAGTAAGAAAGTTAATTATAAACATCTAAATACGCAAAATATAAAAGTATTTAATAAATAGGTACAAAATTAATACTAATTAATATTTAGATTATATTAAGTATATAAAATCTTAAAATAATTCTTTCACTAAATGAAACATTTGTGTTAATATTAAAAAATATATATACGAAAATTGCCAAAATTTGGTTTTATTTATTGTCATTTTTTCATTGTATGATACAATAGAGGAGATATGATTTTTAGTTTTTTTGATATTTGTGATGTCACGACTTAAAGCATTTTATAATTTATTTCATTTAAAATATTTCAAGACTTCTAATTTTAAGCTACACCGTGTTTTTTAAATGTAAAAGGTTCAAATTTACGAACCCCTAAATGCTTTTTTATTATTTAAAAAAGTATTTTTTAATTGTACAATAATGTTAATGATATATTAATATAATACGATTAAAAACTACTTTTAATATGTATTATTGTTTTATTTATTGTCATGTTTCATTTTGGCAATTTTATTTAAAGATATGCACACTTATACTCTATTTAATGTTTATTTAATGTTACCTTATGCACTATCCTAAATTAGTATAAAGATCACACCATCAAATAAAGCTTTGTAAATATATTTACAACTGCCCTTTAGCAGTTATTTTTACGCAATAAAATATTTAGACTAACAATCTTGCGCTTTAAGTACTTGGGTAATAATTCCTTCTTAAATAAAATTGCTACATAGTAGAACAACCCTAAGTAATATATTTATGTACGAGTAGATATTTTAGACGTAAATATGTAGAAGAATTATGATATATTTTCTTATTGTCGCCTAATAATTATTGACTTTTTAGGTCATTTTATTGTCTGGATTACAATGTAAAAATATTACTAGTGTAACAATGTAGTATTAAATATTAAACAACAAATTTGCAAAACTAAATATGTGACCATGAAATTATTTATGGATATATTGATTATGATAAAACAAATATTTAGGGGGTTATTTAATAATATAAAAAATACAGATAATAGAAAAAGAAATGTTTTGCGGTTCAAATCTTTCCAATATGTGGGACTTGACCATACTGTTTTTTATTAAAGAAATCAAACATCTTTAACATTTAATTTTTCAAAAAATGCTGTACTAATAAATTATCTATGGATGGAATCTTATATAGAATCATACAACATATTTAGTTTTGCAAACTTTAAAATCGATATATCTATAAAACTATAGGTATAATATAATAAAACGCAAAAATATGTATATATACATTAAACCTATATAATACCAATACAATAGCAAAATGAAAATACTTAATAAAACAATTAACGAACGCAAAGATACGTACACACACACAATCAAGGTGCTTTTTAGACAAAAAAACTACTTAAAAATGTTACATTTTATTTTTCATCTCAGGTGTCTATACGCACTACAGTTAACAAATGCAACTTTTATTATCATGATAATTATCAGGGGGGACATTTTATTCTTTAAGTTAGTATATTGCGTATTTTGGTTCCATTTTATGAATTTTATTTAATTTGAATTTACAGTAAAAAGATCTTAAATTTTTGGTTCTGTTTTCTGTAGTTGTGTGCCATCTTCAATGGGACGTATTAGGCATTTTTAAGCCCATGTACTTGGGAATCTTTTTTCTAATTTTACGCCAATTTTTTTTAAATTAATTTTGCGTTCATAATGACTTTATTATAACTCCGCTGTAATGAGATACTTTATCCCACCCAACATTTTTATTTCATAGGTTGGCTATTATAATACTTTAAATATAATACTTTAAATAGCATAATATTTTGCATATTGGTTATAATATTTTTATGATTTTTCTAGCAATAAATTTTGTTTAACACCAAAGAAAATCCTTTTTTTCTTCTTTAACATTAACAGCCGCTTATTGTAAATAAGTAAATTAAGGACGGCATGGCGAATCAATTTTGAAATTAACTGTAAAACCAATGACTGTGATCTAAAGTATCTAAAGTAAAATTCAACCAAATTAAATTTAAGGTATAAATTTTTTTTTTGTAGAATTTTAGCAAAATAGATAAAATAGCATAAAGAACTCGTCATAAGACGTTTTGTCGCACTCGTCCATTGTCCGCGTGCAACAAAATAATAATAATAATAATATCTTTATTGCCCAACAGAAAGGAATTCCAATTACAGGACAATTATAATAATACAGAATATATAAACAAATACTAAAATAACTAAATAACGTCTTATGACATTAGTTCTTTAATATACTAGTATAAAATTCTTTTTTTTAAATCAATTTTAACTTTTACTGTGAAAAATATTCATTTTTTAAATTGTTGAGAATATTTAGTTGGTAAATGTAATTATTTTTATTTACATGGTGTAAAAACTCAAACCTAGAAAATTTATCTTCTACATATTTTGAAAAATTAGACTAAAAACTACATTTTCTTTTGTCTCAAATAACCATATTAAACATTGATTTTTTTAAAAAGAAGATACACTCATTAAAAAGCTTTTTTTTCTAAAAAGCACCATAACGATTTAACTAACGATTATTATAGTAAATTACATTTAATATAAAAGCTGATAGCTTTTATGTCGATATGTTTTAATTGATATTCGTGATTGAATAATTTTTTGTGCCAATGAAAGATGTTGTTTTTAGCACTTAATCACGATAGAGTTAATTTAAACTTTAAACCTAGTTTAAATATGTATTTACATTCTTGATAATTGTACACTTTATGGATATTTATTAAATTTGGTATTTAATTTAAAGTTGTTTGACTGTTTTAAAAGTATAGGAATATTTATATGAAATAAGTTAAATATATTTAAAAAAATATATTTAATTAAAAGCTCGAAAAATTTAATTAAATTATTGTGAATTTTTATAAAAAAACTATTTAACGTGTGAGTGAAACAATACATCTCCAAAAAAATGAATAAAAGTGTTTTTTAATCATATTTAAATTAAAATTTACCATTTGAGTCAGTAATATTTATACATACTTTTTGAAACAGTCAAACAACAACATTTTCCAAAACAATTTTTTTTTTAGTTTTTTTATGGTGCGTATTTGACTTATTTGTGCGATATTCACTAAGTATTCTCATTTTATTATTATTATTTGTGTATTATGTATATAAAAAGAAACATTTATTGTCGTTAAAACAGCCTTAATAAATACAATTCTTAAGTTTAAGTAACTTGTAAATATTATCTTAGTGTATATTATTGTCAAGATATCGTTTAAGAAATTGACGTATTTGAACAAAGTCCTTTTGTTATTTTTTATTGTCAACGTTTTTTTTATTTGCCCTCGTATCGCACGGTAGGGATAAATTGCACCCAATTCACCAAAATGAATTTGATGTGAAAAAATTTCATTTGCGTAACAGAGCTTTCATTTGTTACGGGATTCGTCCGCGCGCGTGTATGGTAACTGCGGACACTGTGAGAAGACAAATTGCGGTCAGGAATATATACGGGACACTTTTTGAGTGACGGGCGCCACTGGCGTCTGTTTGCTCGCTTATCGTGCCCGGGTCCACGACGTGGATTTTCCAGCCCAAGTTGTTGTGCGTATAGCACTGAAAAAAATAAGATTTTTTAAAACACGTTTAAAAAAATGTATTTTATAGGATATATGAGTCGTCTAGTTTTAAAAGCGCCATCTACAATTTTTTTAATAAATTAGTTATTTACACCAATAAAATCGAAATATTACGTAGGTAGTATATTATTGCAAAATTATATCCCAACAAAAACGGCTATTATAAAATAATTCATTAAAGTTATGTTAGTTTTAATACCGGCCATCTCTATTGATGTTTTAAGTACAAAAATGTACCTACTTAAAATGACCATTAGGGTGGTTTTTTTGTTCGCAGAGCCCCCTAAATTTTTAGTTTATGACCTAAAAATAAAAAAAAGTTATATATAATAAAAAAATATATTCATATTTAAATAACATGGGGTTTCGGCAAGTTTTACATTTAATTTTTTTCTCCCGAGCAAGTTAATATACAGCAATAATAGACACATATTTTTATAGAAAATTAAACGCTGTACAAAAAAGCTTTTTTATGATTTTTTCATAAATTCACTGATTTAAAAGTTATTTAAGGCTAAAGATAAACTTATAGTAATTGTTTCGATTTTTTTACTTTGACTGCACAATTATAATTATTTTTATGAAAATGAATTGTTTATTTTTGAAAATATGTGATTTTATTGTATTATTGTAAAAATAAAAATTATTGACAAGTTTTACTCAATTTTAGAAGGATTACTTTTTTACATAACCTTTTTATTTCTGTGAAATTCTACAAAATTTTATACGATTTTATAAAATATTATATAATAAAAAGTTTTCCTTCAGTACAGCTAATGACCTAGAAAAGATTCTTTTAACAATTACTTTTACGACAAAATAAAATTCGTAGTTACGCATACGTTGTCTTGAGTATAAAATGCATACATTTTCGCCACACCAATTATCCTTTTCAAATAAGTTAAATGTATTTATCTACTTCTACATTGACGAGCTGTGACTTTATGGCGCTTTAGTCACGGGCTGAAATAATTGTTAAAAGAATTTCTACGTCATTAGCCACAGCTGAAATTTTTCATTGTATAATATTTTATAAAATTTTGTAAAATTTTACAGTCAAAAAAAATACGATGAGTTTATCTTAAACCTTAAATAACTCTTAAATCAGTGAATTTATGAAAAAAGCTTTTTTGTACAGCGTTCAATTTCCTATAAAAATATGTATCTCTTATTGCTGTATATTAACTTGTCGGGAGAAAAAAATTAAATGTAAAACTTGCCGAAACCCCATTTTATTTAAATGGAAAATGTATCGTCTTTGTGGCACGGTTTAATTTGAATATATTTTTTTATAATTTTTTTTTTTAATTTTTAGGTCATAAACTAAAAATTTAGGGGGCGCTTCGAACAAAAAGAACAAGTTGATAAATAACGGACACCCTAATGTCCATATTGTCCAAATATAATATAATATTATCACGGCGGTCCTCAAGGGTGAATAGGTTGACCAAAAATGTAGCCAAAAAATATTTACTACATCTAATTGTACTCCACTTAGGCTCTCTAAAACCATTTTTGGGTAAATCGCAGCTGATCGAAAAGTTGATTTTTTTTAGTTTTAAAAGAAAATCATGGAATTTTAGTAGTTTTGTTTTTGTTACATTTTTTTTATATCAAAAGTTTGTGTAATTTTAATTATTATCTTATTGAAAATCAAATTATTTAATTTTCTGAATAACATTTAGTAGTATTTATAAATTGAAATCATTGGTTAAGTACCTATCAAATTTTCTTCCGTACTGCAAAAAATTTAATAAAAATGTAGGTAAAGGGTGCCATGAAATCTAATGAAACAAAATATGTTGTTATGACAACACTCCAATTGTTATTGAACAGAGAAAATAAGTTTTATTTTGATGTTTGTGCTTGTTGTGTTATTTAAAGTAGTGTTTTAAGTTCAAAGTAATCCTGCAAAAAGTCTCTGTGACGGCTGGTTGATTTTGGGTACACCAATATCTCAGTTATTAGACATGGTACCCATATGCAATTTATAATTCACAATTCACAATATATAAATTCTTAAACTTTATTTAAAAAGTCCGAGTATTACAGATTTTATACCATTTTAAAATTTTTATTAATTATTTATTTACATTAAAAAAAAAATAGAAATGATATTTATATCTGTAATACTTTTTAAATAAATTTTGAAATTTGTTGATAAACTGTAGTAAATTATAAATTGCACCACTTTAATTTAAATTATCTTAATTTGGGGGGCAGGAGGCTGGGGGGCACACTAAAAAACTAACTTTTTTCCCAAACTTCAATTTAAATTGAATATAATGTACTCATATAAATTTGATGTGGGTCCCATGTCTAAAAATTGTGATATGGGTGTGCCCAAAATCCACCAGCCGCCACTTTAAGATAATCATGAAGAAAACCGATCGAAAGTTTGTGTTGCCTGCGGCAGAAAGATAGTTTTTGGAAAATGCAATCCATCAAGATTTAGATTAAATAATAGCCTATACAATTTGATAAATCTACACTGCTTTAAATTTGACAAAAATGACAGTAGATATCCCAATGCAGCATGTGGCAATTGTCGTTTGTCTTGATAAGATAGAAGACAGAATATCTTAAAAATACCTCTTCCCAAAAAAGAACCGGGTTTTGACAAAATTTAGCTACATCCAAGAACGAGACTCACATGTAACCATGTAGCTGTCGACTATGTACCATTGCTAGTTTTAAAGGTCACAAACTAACACGCAAAAATCCTAAATGGAAGAACAAAAAAGCAAATTTTAGAACATGTAGTGAATGTTGCAAAAAGTTGGTAAAGGAATTTCCCACAATTGCAGGAAGCACAATTCTGTTGTCTGTTGTCCCCTTATTTTTTCTGATATTAATGAATCAAGAAATGGCACTTCAAATGTTGGTTTATTTAGAACTTACCTGGGAAAAATATAAAATTAATTGTTTGGACAATGCAAGCTATGGTTTGAGTTTGACAAAAGCAGTAATAGATTTTTCTTCTTGTCATTTGTAGGTTTAGTTATTAATTTTTTTCATGTTTTGTAAAAGTAGTTACCTAATGTTATTGAAAAGATCAAAGGATGAGATTTTTATTCGAGTGTAACCAAAATTACAAATATTTTTGATATAACAAAAAATGTAACAAAAAAAAACTAATAAAATTCCATGATTTTCTCTAAAAACTAAAAAAAAATCAAGTTTTCGATCAGCTGCGATTTACCTAAAAATGGTTTTAGAGAGCCCAAGTGGAGTACAATTAGATGTAGTAAATATTTTTTGGCTACATTTTTGGTCAACCTATTCACCCTTGAGGACCGCCGTGATATGTTATATGTTTTTGATGGGCCACCCTGTATATCCTGTTAACAACGTATAAAAGTGTATTTTCAACATAGATTACAAAAAACAAATTAATTAAAATCTGAGAATGCTTACTTGGTAGTATAGGAGGTCGGGTGCGTCCATAGGAACAGTCCAATTAAGAAAACCGGGCTCTCCTTGGTCGCATTCAAGCCGTAGCGTTTTCATGTAGTCCAGGAAAGTGTTACTTTCCAGAGCCTTGTCCACGCTGATGTGCGCCCATTCGCAGTATTTACCGAACGCTGTGGGATACGGGTAACCTTCTCTGTCGAAACCAACGCCAGCGTAGACTTTTTGTTTGTTGCGTTCTTGAGCGGTCTTTTGGTCGTATCCGCCTTCCGAAGAGTCTGTGATGTAGAATGGATGATAGCTAGAAGAAATAAATAATGTATTTATGATTTTATTATTCATTTAATAGTCCTAAGATGGTTTTGTTAATACCCAGACAGCAATATGACGTCTTAATTAAGTCTGCATAAGCTCTATTTTATGATTTGGACGTCAAATACAACATCAGAAAGAAGTTTTTAAGAAGTTCTTAAGACTTTGAATGCGCCACCTATTGAACTAATCAAGACTTCTAAAAAAATAACTCTTGAGGAACCCTTTTCTTCGACTTCGCAATTAAGCATTTTAAAGAGTCCTACTGTATAAACTTATAAAAAGACTTCTTTAGAATTTTCCGTTTTGGATATAGAAGTACTACTAGGGTACTGATGAAGAAATTGCATACTGGATCGTTGCTTATTAAAATCACGCTCTAAATTCTACTTCGCCGCTTCTTATATCAAACACAAGCAGTTACAGCGGTGAGAAGAAAGTAATCGCATTAAAATTTCATAAATGTGACGTCTCCATGTTGACTTCTGAAAGAGTAAATAGTATGATTTCAATTGGAAGTAAGAAAAAAGAATACTCTGTAAGCTCAAAATAAATTGTTCAAAAAGAGGTCAAGAAAAGATCTTCATTTGTACGTAAAAAAATTGACTTCTTATTTATGAGTTCATTAACAGCTCAGAATTCTGAGCTCATAAAAAGGAGCTGTTTAAGACGTCATGGTAGAACTTCTACACGAAGTTGTTTAAAAGACTTCATACTGAAATCTTTCTTAATTGGATGCTGACTGGGTAATCTTATGCAGTGTACACTAGGATGATTCAACAAAATCTAATATTTTTTTTTACTTCCAACGCTGACTAATAATTATTGTCAAAGTTTGAAGAATTTATAAAAAATAAATTTGTATAGTTTTTTAACTCATTGACAAATAATTATTGTCAAACGAGTATGACATATTTTTGTAGGAAATTGAACGTTCTACAAGAAAGGTCTGATTGATTACTCTAAACGTTGAGAAGATATTTGTATCCGAATATCTTCTCAACGGTTAGAGTAATCAATTAAACACATTCTTGTAGAGCGTTAAATTTCCTACAAAATTATAAATTTTATAAATCCTTCAAACTGATCTTGAATATCATCTTTTAAATGGTTAGAGAAATCGCTTAAACACATTGGTCCTTTTTTGTAGAGCATTAAATTTCCTACAAAAATATGTATAAAGATTTTATTAAACGATTGATTAATAAGGAAATATGGCATTTTTTATAAGGCAATAAAGAAAAAATGGAAAACTGAAAAGAATCTTCCTATTAATATTAAGAGCTCAAATTTGGTGAGTACTTTCTAGAGGAGCCTAAGAACCAATTTTTTAGTGTCGGAAGTAGAAAAAATATTCGATTTTTTTAAATCACTCCAGTGTGTACACATAGAATTCTATAGATATATAGATATACACAATATTACGTCAAGATATTAATCCCGGCGCATTCGCCATTTTTGAAAATATTACAGAACAAAATTTAATGGTAAATTTAAAAAATATGCAGAGACGTAATAAGAAGGCATGTTCTGAGGTTTTAATAATATATTCCAATATTTCTAATTAATAGAAACAAAATTTCTGTGAAAAATTGTAATTTTCCGAAAATTATTTAGATTGTTAAAGATACGTAACCCAGCCAACCACAGACCACCAAAACAAATGGACGGCGCATTGCCATTCAATAACAATGATTTGTTTGCGGTCAACAAACGGTCACAGTCTAAGCGTCAAATTGGAGATAGAATTTTATGTTTTCTTCCAGTGACGTCATCAAACGGTCACAGTCTAAGCGTTAAATTGGCGATAGAATTTTATGTTTTCTTCCAGTGACGTATTGGGATTAAAAAAATAAGTAGGTAGGTACTTACAAACGATATTTCCATGTAGGTATTGTTATTTTTAGTAAAAAATAATGGATTTATACTCCATAATTAACTTAAACACGATAGAAATACACAAACGAAAACACAAAACAACAAGCTGTCAACCCACAGAACATAACCTTTTTCTATGTCAAATATGACGAATTTGCCAACGTTGTTAATATTAAATTTTAATAATTATTAAATGATTTACTTTCTTTAAATAGAGAAAAATATCTAAAGAAAATGATGAACAAATCCTTTTTACAATTTTTTTATTATTCAAACGAATTACTGGTAATTATTAATGTTCATTATGTTTGATGAACGTCCAAAAAGGCGTGTAATCTATACTTCTGACAACGTTGGAAGCCGTGTTTCTTTCGACGGTGTTTAGAATGTGAAAGTATGCTTTACTCGCTTTTTAAACGTAAACAAATCCGTCCATTTGTTTTGGTGGTCTGTGCAGCCAACACATAAGTCGACTTGCAAATATTAGCCTGAAAAGGGCCATTGCAAGTTGCAAACTCTATAGAGTTAGCCTTTTAGTTCATTTTTATTTTAAACTTGTTACAGAATATAGTATTCATTTGATTTATATATTACGAAATTCATAAAAAAGGCGTACCGGGCCGGGTTGGTTTCATCCGCACCTCCTTCAATGGTAAAAGTATAAGTTTGTCCTCTTTCCACAGTAACTTCAGGTATCAACATGTCATTAATATACCAACAAATACCCCATGATGGATGTCCAGTTATTGGGGTATACCCTCTTTTACCTCCGGTTGGTCCAATGCGAGCCGTAAACATATTTTCACCTATATACAGAGAAGTTTTTGTTAAGGCTTGAAATGGCGCAGTCGCTAGGATTTCTTGAACACCTTACCTACGATTCTTGCAGGTGGCCATGGTTTGGGCCCGTTCTCGTCCTCCAAATCGTCCAGACTTATGGTGCATTGATGATCGTCGAACTGTCCAAAGTCTATTTTCACGTCGTCCATTGTTTTATCGGTCATGCTGTGAGCGTTGGCTTCTCTTCTGCTGTTTAAAGGCCCAAAAGCAGCTATCACATTCACCTAAATTTTAAGTAAGAAGGTACAAAATATTATTTTAAAAAAGTATTTTATCGGTATTTTGAAACCAATATGTAACATACCTCGCCTTGGCTCGGTATCGGTCTGTCATTAACCGCCTCGTTTGTTTGCAATGGTCTCGTGTATTTAATAGTGGTAATTCCGTTTTTGCGGTCGCCTAACAACAGGGTTACGTCGTTCCGTCCACCGATCCGTTCGTCGGGACATACGCCCGATTTGCCGTCGCATTGGGCCGTGTGCGACATGAAGTAATCCACAGCTCGGAATTCACGGGTTTCCTTGTCGTAGAAAGCTACGGTCACATCTGCTCCAACCTAAAGAAATACAAAAAATAACCTCTCCATTTAAAAATAATGTTGCTGCAATGGGAAATAAGCGCTTGATCAATGTACAAAATTTAATACCGTATTTTCACGCTAAAGGTATACAGTGCCGAGTGCGTCTGAACGCCTTGAAAAAGAGTGGGGATGCACTGTTTCGCTTACAAATGCAAAACCCAAAACATTATGCTCGAACATTGGTGCACTGCGGTTTTCTGTCGCCGCTGCAAAATATCCCCACTCTCTTTCAAGTGTCAAATAATAATCATACAAGCTAGTTTTGGCATTAATACAATTTAACTTGCTAGAATAATACAGGGCAAAGGTTTTAAAAAGAAAATGTTTGTATTTCGTGAAAATATTCATATATTATATCACGAGAACTAAGAATTTAATCGGTTAAACTAGGCTCAGTAGTTTTTTGTTTGGTTTTTGTTGGAAAATGTTGAATGCAAAATAATTTAATAAAAATTTTTTATTTTTAATTATTTTGCATGAAACTATTTTCCAAAAAGAAAAATCAAATAAAAAACTTACTGAGCATAGTTTGACAGATTAAATTTATAGGTTGAGTGATATACGTCTAGATTATTTCTCGAATTATAGGAAACTATTTGACAATTCATAAAATCTGACGTATGTGTCAAAATTTTTAAATATTTTTTTAAAGAAAATTCCATTAATTTAAGGTATGTAATAAGTAATAATTGATATTTCGTAAACTAGATAACTTATTTTTTATTGTTTTTTAAAAAATGTTTGTTAAAACTTGTAAATAACACCATAAAATCGTAAACAAAAATCCAATATGGAGGCTAAAATTTAATTGCTGTTAAATAGTTCTAGTGATTTAATCGCTTATTTAAACGAAATTTATTCGAAAATTCAAGGCTTTTGATTGGTTCATATTATAATGAGGGAAATAATCATTTTTATTTCATTAATTAATAAAAAAATCCAGTAGAAAGTTAGTTTTATTCTTACCATTTGGGGCCTATTTTGTGCCCCAGACAATCCAAAAGCAACGTACTGATCCTCCCTCATTTTTGCGGACAAAGTGATTTCAACTTGGTCTCCTTTTAGCTCCCATCGGACTTGTAAACGTTTGTTCAAAAATTCTCGACAATTTGTTGGTGTGGGTGATTTAGGAGTGGTACTCGTCTTAACAAAAAACCATTGTTTAAGTGTATTAATATTATTGATAAAATTTGATGTACTGGGTAAAAAAAACACAAGCAAAATATAATTGCTACTATTTATTGTAGTAATGAATAGTAACACAAAAAATACTTATATGTGTGATGATAGTATTTCTAATAGTTATAATAATCATATGGTGTAGTACTACTTACAGGATTGTACCACCAAGGCGGCTAAGAAGTAAATTGTAATAATAATTTATTTTATCGATTTATTATTTTAATGATGTAGATAGGGCTATAGCATTTTAAATAAAAACAAATATTTAAAACTTTTTTTAGTTATAACTAAACCCGTACCGTTTAAAAATCTCAATAAAAAAATATAAAAAACTTATAATTGGCAAATTTAAATAACTTTGCGGTTCTATGGAAAAAAAGAAAACAATCACACTGATCTTTGTCATTTGGCACAATAGCCAGGACCGGCTTCAAAATTTAAAAGTATGTTTTTTTGAGTTTGATAAAAACAGTTAAAATATTCGAGACTTAAGGTAGTTGTCGTGGTACAATATTGTCAAAATTTTTTAGATTATAAAAGTATACGAGCTTGTAGCTAAGTGATTCATAATTTTTTCGCAAGACTTTACCCTGGAGACGTTACCTTTACGTAATACTTTCAAATATTTTTAGTTTTAATCCGGCAACGTCGCTTATGCTCAACCAATAGATATATTGGAGACTGAATCAGTCTGTATGAATTTACTGTGGAAATAATATCTATACTCGCGTACAGCGTTGCCAAGTTGTTTTTATCTGACACTAGTGATGTATACTTTTTACAAATTGTTGAACTTTAAACGGTTATTTATAAACAATTGGACGGTCAAAAATTTTTAATTTTTTTTTTAAACTCAGCAATCATACATTAAAAGACTGTTAGTTTTTTGAATACTTCTGACAGTTAGTTTTTTTTATAACTAAGAAACTGGTACAGAACTACAGAAAGCGTATACAATCCATGTTAATTATCCAATTTTTAATTAAATTTATCTCGGGTTATAGACGGTCAATCGACTTCAAATTTTAAGGATAATTGTATTGTCATGTATAATAAGTATAGAAAAATTTAAAATTTTCTGATGGTATGCTTACAGCACGACAACTACCTTAAGTCTATATAAGTCTGTAGAAAGACTTTATATTAGTACCTACTAGTTCAAAATTATTATATACTTTGTACAGAAATAAAGCAAAAATGTCATCATTTTTTAAATTATTGTGACAGAATTAAAAATATATATTTAATTAAAGGCTTAAAAAAATAGTACATAAAACTCGGTGGCAAAAGCTTATACACAATCTACTGCCCTTTCTTTTATAATGTACTATTAAAACATATTTTAGAAAATGTGCTAATGATCTTAAAAAATGTCAAAAAACTTTTAAAATGATAATGACAAACCAATACCTACGTTACTTTTTTTTTTACGAAACACAAAACTTTAATTTGGTAAATAACTAAACAATTTAAATATTAGATTTAAATTACCTGCTACAGCCCTTATATCAATTTTAATAATTTTATAATAATGTTGTTACTTACAGATATTTTAGTCTGTCCCAAAGCTGGTGGCACGTCTATATCCTTTGGAATTAGAACGTGTCCGAAATTGTGTCTATACTGGACGCACCATACTGCCAGCCAGTCGATATCGTAAACAGTCAAAGAACCCGGCAGTTGTATTTCGATGTCTTCCCCTTGATATCCATGGAGGGGTTCCAGTGAATTCATTTCATTTGGAACCTTAAAAGAACAACATGGCTATAGAGCTATAGAGCTCTCAAATTATTTATCTTTTTGCGAGATTCCTTAACCAGTAAAATCTATCATATTTGGTTTTTTATTTCATATAGTGAACAACAATGCAGTTAATCCAAATGGATTTTTAAATTGTGAATGGCATATTATCCTGGGATGCAATAAATTTATTTCATCAGATTTATACAATCGATAATTTTGATTTCACTGCAGTGCATTGTGGTGCATGCAAGACATACTTAGTTTTATTTTCAAAAACATATTTCTAATATAAATTTTCTTTATGAACTATACTTGTGCTAAATAGGTGCATGCTAGTAATAGTTTACCTTAATTCCGTAAGATGTCGGTTCAGAACCGTTTCCGACCCAAAAGTAGGCGTCAGGTCCACCGCCGTCGTAATGTAAATTCGGTATGTAAAATGTTTTTGCGTCTAAAATGCTAATGTTGTCCGAACGAAGTCCGTGCGCTAGTCTCTTGAATTCCGGTAAAACTCTAGGTTTGGGGACTTCGAGGTTAGGGGGTATGAACACTTCTCCAAAATCAACCTGAAACAATAAGAATAAAATACTTCCAATTTAATATTTCAGATATATGTATACGTATACACTGTTAAAATAAAATTAGTTTCTTCCGAAAATGATTTAAAACATTAACTTGGTATATAAACGGTACAAATTAAATGATCAGTATTTCAATTTTATGGTAAATTTTCTATTCAGTTGGTCAATATGATAATAAATGGTCGGTGAAAATAATAAATGGTTGGGTTGGGTTGCATACTGGCCATTTATTAATTAATTCTTACTGACCATTATAATCACAATAGTGAACAGGCTAAACAGGCCAAATAGTAATTCTACTGCTCCAAAATTCAATGTTTACTCATCATATTTTATAAAAGTACTGAGTCTTTTATATTATTTTACTGACTGCTTGTATTATAATATTATACTGTACTGTACAGTCTGTACATAATGAATTAAATACTGTTCAGTTTGTTACAACCCGTATAATACTCGGCAAACACATTCTGATTCTGATTAAGTAATGGCCCATTACATAGTTTCATGGCTTAATAATGGCATACTTAGCTAAACCTTGTACTGGGCCTTTACAGGAATGTTTGCCTGATATTTGTATATTTTACCATAAAAGACCCATATATGGCAATTTTCAATATCAAGTTAATGGGACTAAAAAACCATTGGTGCCAAATGTTTTCTGTATACTTACATGAACCTTTAATTATCTTTTGGTTAAGGCCATTATTTAAAAATGACGCCAAGTGTAATTCCTATAGTTTTAATAGTGTGTTATACCACATATGAGGAGCGTTTATTAAAAAAGGGACATGTCCATTTTAGCAATTTGCAGAAACAAGTCAAAAATAACAGAATTCTTTTGCTTTTGACTTATGTCTGAAAATCGCTAAAATGGACATGTCCCTTTTTGAATAAACGCTCCTCATATGTCACCTGTATTTTTTTTTAAACGACTAGTATTTAGTCACATAAAAGTTGAACAACTTTTTTCCTAGATGAAATTTTTCTGGAAGTAGTGGAATTCCATCTTTGCAATATATGTAAATTTATAACATGTGGTCCTGATCAAGCATGCCCAAAAAAATTGCAGATCATGCAAAAACAATAGCAGGCACACAAATTCTGATTACATTAAACTATAAATAATTCAAAATGTTTAATTTTAAATTAACCACTGTAGTAATAGTAAAACAATAAACAATTTATTTATAAATGACTTTTATTAGTTATTTGTGGGTTGTAATTAAAATTCAAATGCAAAATGTAAAATAAAATTATGGTATTGTATCGGTATAAAATCGATTTTGTAATAAACCTTTCAGTAACGCGCACCAAACTGGTTTTATGTTTCTTTTATTGAAATTGTTTCATAAAGCTAAAGCAAATAAGGTTTATTCAAACTTATTAATACAGAACGCCTATTTTGATTATTTAATATAACTTCAATTTTTGATTATTTTCCCTTTTTGTGTCTACAGTGTGTTTCATTTTGATTGGCGATAATTCTGTATTTATTTAAAAATATACCGATTTAAAAAAATATTTTTAGTTTGTAGTAGGTACTCGAAAAGCTCTATCTTTTAAAGAAAAAATATTGTCATATCGGTACCTTAGAAATTCTAATTCATATTATGTCATTTTCATGGCTTCATGACTTATGAGGCATTTTTTAAATTTAAAAATATATAGCGTTTCTGAATTTAGCATATCCAAAAACCCCTAAAACGATAATTTTGTAATACAATTTTATACAGGATGGTCAAAAAGTAAGGTCATATTTGTAAAAAAAAAATCATTTTTATTAGCACTGTTTAAATTCTAGCAAACATTTTGCAAAGACATTTTGCCATTTTTCTAGGTATTACAGTATTAAGGTCAAAAATTATAAAAAAAGGTATTTTAAATAAAATATTAATTTAATTAGAGGCATAATAAGTACTCAAATTTGTACTGGTACTTAAAATATTACTTTTAAATAGTTTATTTATTAATAATTAGATAAATATTTAAATACCACATTTTTTTTAAATAATTTTTGACGAATATTTAGTTCGTTTAATACCTACTTAACGAAATTACAGAATGTTTTTTTTTTGCAAAATTTTTGCTAGAATTTACACAAATTGCTTAAAAAAAATTGTTTTTTTTTAATCGGAATATTTTTAAATAAATACCGAATTGTTGACAATCAAAATGAAACACACTGTATATGCTTGCTCAAAATCTTAAGTATTTTTATTTTTTAGGTATACAGGGTTTTTCACATTCTTGGTCCATTAGAAGTTTCTGGGGAATATTTTGAACAAAATGCCACTTCCGGGTAAACCGGAAGTGATATAAACTTTGTTATTTCAAATAGAACACCCTATATATTTTTAAATTGCACATAAAATTATGAGTAAAATTACTATACCATGTCATATAGTGAATAGATGTCGAGTTATTAATTTTGTTCGTTAAAATTTGAGAAATGCGCATCAGTCAAAAATAGCCTATACCAACTTTTTTGCTATTAGGTTTGCGGAAATGGGGGTGGAATTTTTGGAATATTAAAACATTGTTTAAAAGATTCCATGTCAATTCTTTAACATTTTTAAATAAATTACCCAAGAAAACCCAGGGCAAATAAGGCAAACTTGAAACTTTAATAACTTTTTATTTTAAATGTATGTTTTTACATAGTCACAATTTTACTCATAATTTGATGTAGAATTTAAAATATTTGAAATAACAAAGTTAATGTTACTTCCGGTCAAACCGGAAGTGTCATTTTGTTTAAAAAAATTTAGGAAAATAGACTTAAAAAATGGATTATAAACGCTTTTAAAATTTCAAATCGATATCTTTTTCCGTTTCCCAGAAACTTAATAATAATAATAATAATATTTATTGCCTTTAAAAAATATTTCACAAACAGATTAATCTAATATAAACAAGTAAATAGCAATAAATATGCAAAAAAGCACCTTAATAAACAAGCGTTTATTTGTACGTGCAATAGTAATAATTTAAAATAACATTTAAAATAAAAATTCTAAATATAGAAAAACTATTATAAAAACATCATTTAATATTACAAAGCCAATATAAGAGAACAAAACTAAAATTTTTAGATGTTTAGATATATTGTAATTTTTTTTTAATTATTTTTAATATTTATCAAATATATCGAACATATAATACTATACAATTACATCTGTTTTTATTATTTACATAAACAATATAATTAGTAATTTTTTAGATCAATTTCTTTATTTATATCGTCTCTGGACAGATATTCTACATATGTCTTAGATATCTTTTTAAATTTGTGGTTGGGCGTGTTTTTAATTTCCAGGGGCAAGGTGTTGTATATTTTTGCACTTACACTTTTTAAAATGACTTTGTTTTTTTTACGTTAATAAATTGCGTACGTTTAGAGGTTGTAAAAATTAACGTCGAAAACGTTATAAAATAATTGGTGCGCAACCCCAGAGTCATCGATAAAAAAATAGCAGCGCGAGCGGCAGCAGTCCAACTAAAACATACTCGTCTCCGAAAATTAACCCATTAAGCTCGGTAAGTCCAGACGGCGCAGCCGAATGGAGGCCCTATTGCGTGTTTATTTAAAGCTTAAATTTCAGTCTGTTAGCGTGATAGGCTTCGGCAGGGAAGGTGGTCCTTGTTACAGTAATATTATATCGACCTGCGTGGAATAGAGACGCTCTGAAACATACCGATTTCTGGATAAATTTATCAAAATGGCTACTCCCATGTTTAGGACCGCTTTATCCGTCCGCTGACGAAGCCCCCCATCCCCCCCGAAGCAAAGCAAATTTATTACTATTTGAAAATACGTATTTAACGGCCTTTTTTTCGACGGTCTGCTTTCAATCAGACCCAGACTTTTATCGATGCAATTTAAAGGTATTTCTTCTTATTCTTCGTCTTTCAGCATTTCGGCGAAAGCTGCAAACCTAATCATTCAATTTACTTTGATGGGGTCGCACTGTGGGCCCTATGCCCAAACTAGGTTGCAATAAGTCATTATTGAAAATGTATAATTTGCCACTATTGTTTTATTAAAAACATATTCAAACTTGTAAAAACATAATTGCTTTTTGAAAATACTCTACGAACACTTTTTTATAAATGCCCAATGTCAGATCTTTAAAAGAAAGTCTATTTTTAATGCAATCGTTTTAATTAAAACTACGATTTTTGCGATTTTTTTTTATAGCTTAGAGGGCCGTGAAAAGCAAAAGTCGTCTTAAACATTTCATAACTGACATTAGACCTGTCAATTAGTTGTGTTGGATACATAAAATTATAGAAAATTCGTGTTTTTTTTTGCTTTTGGCAAGAACTGATAAGGTAATTAACATGAATATTTAATTTTTTATGTTTTGCAGAGTAAAAAAATAGGAAGGCCAACGAATGCCAAGCCAAAATATATATTTTTTATTAGACAAAGATGTAGACTACTAAAAACTGTTAACCAAAAAAATCGCAAAAAATCGCGAAACTTATCCCAGTCAAAAATGTAAACCTCTGAGAAAAGAAAATATTACCAATTAATATGCATCTTTAAGTTGTTTATCGCATGTATTGCTTGGGCAATGAGCAAATTATATACTTACATGGCGTTTAATATTTGTTAAAAGTGTTTACGCCTACTTATTCTTTTTATATTACATCAAGGTGGCCTAGATGCATTGTTAAAAATTGCTCAAAAGGCATTAAAAAATCACATTTATGTCCAGAATTATGTTAAGAATCCGAGAATGAAAATTTATACAGGGGTTTCTATTTAATTTTTTGAACCTGGACCCATTTCCGGTGAAACCGGAAGTGACCGAAAAAATATGCGAAAACCCTCCTCTTTATACACCATTTACCTATTACCAACACTCTGTATTTCACTTTTTATCTGCTACACGAAGCAACTGCGTTGAGTCAAATTGAACTATTTTCAGAAAATGAATCTCTAGATTTATATGTTCAATAATTTACGGGATAAAACATAGTAACTATCGCGATATATCGATAGTATGTATGCAGACATTACAAAATAATTTTTTTCTGGCTAAACCGCTCATCCAACTTTTACAAGAGACAAAAAGTTTTTAAACAAAGTGAGCAACAGTAAAAAAAATACAAACGAAAATTTGTACCTAACCTGGCTTTTCTGATTATTCTAATTTTTAAAGATAACTGAGTGTAGCACCAAACGACGTTAATTGGCAGTTAAAAGTTACATTCGAAAAATATTCAAAATTCATTAATTCGTTTTTAAGATATTTAAAAAAATAGTTATTTTTTAAAACTTTAAAGGCCTCTAACGACTAAACTAAGCAACTTAGTATATAGGTAATTTGAGTTAAATCGACTTATTTTGATCCGTAGATAACGTTGGCATGGTTTGTTACACTAGTTGAATTTTATAAATTAATTTCCAAAAATACCAATGTGGCAACACTGGAAAATGAAAAAATAAATTATATAATTAATTACCAGCATTGGTTAGTCTCAAAGTTTAATTATTTTTAAAGTTTTAAGTAAATAGAAAAAAAATTGAATTAATGCAACCTAGTTTGGACATTGGGCCCACAGTGGGTCGTGTAGAAAAAACAAATTATGGATTTGATTACTTTGTACTTAAAAAGAATGTTTACTTTTTAATTTTAACAATTTTAAACATTTTTACTTTATGAATGGATTTTACAGAATTATTTAGAAAATTATGTTTTAAAATGGTCAAAGTGGAACCAACTCCCCAAACCACAAAAAAGTCTTTTTCTTAATAATAATACAATTATTTGACAAAAATTTAAATTAACAAAAATTAAAAAAGTTATTTATTTCTAAAAAATAAATATAAGGCATTCAATATTTGTATTTTTAATTTTTGGAATTGGTGCGGTCAAAAACCATTTTACCGCATAATGTAGCGTTCGCGCATGGTAAAGTTTAACACGTGTTTAGCAACGCAGTGGCGCCTATTCAATATTTACTTTTAATTTTGTATAGAAAGTGTACCCAAATTTCATCGTATCGCAAAATTATTGATAAACTATAGTTAAAAAAATATATTAAATTAAAAAAGTGAAGGTAACAAAGTAGTATAATCTTAAAAGGAACCCTAAGGTATATATATAATAGGGTGCTTTTTTTTCACGACTATTTTTATTTTTTCGCTCCCAAATTTGAACTCTAAGTTAGTTCTCTCCCAAAGCTTATAAAGATTTCCTATTTAAAATACACGTAAACTTTGATTATATTTTTTTGAATATCTATATCTTTATTTATTAATAATTATGCTTGATTGTTTAAGTTATTTATTTTTCTCTAATTACTCGACTGCAGAAAAAACGTAATTACATGAAATTATACTGATAAATAATTGAAAATCATCATTTATAAAAAGTTTGGTACGAAAATCCTGATAATTTCATAAATTGTCAATGTAAACGCTTTATATCTCAACAAATATCAATCTTAGCGATTCAACTGATAAGACATTTTTTAAAGAAAATTAAATTTTTTACAAGTCTATTCTTTACATTTTTTCGATGAATCAGTCAATTTTGAAATATCTTCAAAATATGAGAATTTTTCACTAAAATCAGATGTAGTGACCCGTACCATCCTACAGGTGCAGATTACAGCTATGATACATAAAGCATTTTTGTAGAACTTTTGATTACGAGTAAATCTCTTTTTGAAACAATCCAATAGCATAAAATGCGGCTGAGATATAAATATTTTTAAAAAAAATCAATGTTTACGTGTTTTTTAAATGGGAAATCTTTATACGCTTTGGGAAATTAACTAGCTATGGCTTTATGGCGCTTTAGTCACGGGCTGAAGTGCCCTTCCTGTAAAATAATACTATATGTGAAAATTATTGTTTGATCGTAATACAAAAATTGAAAAGTATTAATTAATATCTCAACACCAAAATTTAAAAAGTTTGCACTGACCTTTTGATTTCGCCTGCATCACAGTCTTATATAAGACTGTGGCCGGCAGTAAACTAGATTTAACGGATTACATTACAAATTTCGGGTGGAGACCCATAAAACATTCCCTTAACTTCCATTGTGAAAAACTGCTTCTATATCGGATTTTAACGGTCGTTAGTCCACTTTCAAGGGATTTACACATAAAAATTTGACATTTTCACCGGCGCGCCGATAATACAGATTCTTAAGAATGGTAACTCTACTGTTTTATAGATGTCGCTTTATACAAATATTTAATTTACATCATTTTTAGATAACAATAAGTATTTGTCGTAAAAAAGTATAGTATGCAACTCGTTTATAAACACTCGCTCGCAATCTCGCTTGGGTCTAAAATGGCGTTTATCAAACTTTATACCTAATATATTATTATAAATAAATTAATAAATTAATTCAATATTTTATGTTTTTATAATTATAGATTAAATTAATTTTAAATTTCTAAATTTAATCAATTTTCATAACAAAATCTATACAATTAAATTAATAATAAACGTTTGTTATGGTATACGTTTTTACAGTTTTTAATAAATTATATTTACAATAACAAATCTTTAAGGAAGTTTAAACAACGAAAACAAGACTTATCTATAAACTTAATATATTTTACATTAATTTTAATCTTACAATTACTTACTGCCACTGTTTATTTAACATAATTTATTTGGTGTAAAAATGTTAATACTGCATTTATTTGGGGTAATAGTAATTATTACTTTAACATGTGCATTTTTAAAGTGGATATACGATCATGTTCGAATACATTATTACATTTCAAAAATTCCCGGACCTAAGGGGTATTTTCTTCTGGGAAATTTGTTTGATTTAGTTCACAAAGACGGTAAGTTTTTTTAATAAACCATACGTTTTTCTTAAATTAAAACACTTTTTAAGAACGCTTATTTAGAAAACTAAGACAATGGGGTTTGGAATTTTATCCTATTTACAGAGCTGGGGTGTGTTCAGAAACCTCAGCAAATATGGTCGGAGCAGAAGATATAGAGGTCAGTAAAAAATTGTAGCTATAAAGCCTTAAGGCTAATGTTTTTTTAGCAAATTATATCATCGACACAACACTCTTCCAAAAGCGAAATTTATCGAATTTTGGAAAACTGGTTGGGGACTGGACTTCTCACCTCAGCTGGTAAAAAGCAAAAAATACGAAATGTATTTAAACTTTTAAAAATCCATCAATTTAGGTGCAAAATGGCAACACAGGCGAAAAATTTTAACCCCAGCTTTTCATTTCAACATCCTTCAACAATTTATCCAAGTATTTAATGGTGAAACAGAAAAATTAGTAGAAACTTATTATAAACTTTTGGAAGATAGACAGGAAGTTTCTATTGATGTGACATCTACTATTACTCAGTTTACATTATGTACAATAAATGGTACACTTTAAGAATTACAATATAAAGTATTTTAATAATTTAATAACTTTTTTAGAAACATCTATGGGAATAAAGCTAGATTTTCACGACGAAGAAAACAAAAACTATAAGCAAGCTGTTTACGAAATAGGGCAGCTTTTCCTAGAAAGACTGCTAAGACCATGGTTGTGGAGGGATATATTTTATTACTTTTTAACCAAGAATGGTTTACGAGAGAAAAAACTAGTTAAAATGTTACACAAATATACGAATAAAGTTATCAATGAAAAGTCGAAAAAATTCGAGCCTTTTGAGGTAGACAGAGATAACTGTTATTCAAGACGAAAAAATATGGCTTTGTTAGATATTTTGCTGAACGAAAAGTTTACCAATGGAAACATTGATGATGAGGGTATAAGAGAGGAAGTTGATACTTTTATGTTCGAGGTAATTTATATTTCCTTTTTAATTTTAATATTTTAAAATTATTTTTGTTGTTTTAATTAAGGGACATGACACAACATCCATGGGGATTAGCTTAGGTTTAATGGCGTTAGCTAATAATCCAGAAATCCAGCTAAATAAATTTCATGATTTTATTGTAATCATTTATCAATGTCTTCAGAATTTGAGATTTTGTAACCTAGTTCTGTTACTTTTATTAAGGAACTGATTCGTGAAGAGATGACCCACGTACTTGGCGATAATTTCTCAAGACCATCATATGAAGAACTTATGGAACTAAAATACACTGAAAGGTGCATAAAAGAAATCCTGAGGCTTTATCCAAGCGTACCCTTCATTTCCAGAATGCTTTCAGACGATATGATTACTAAATCTGGATACAAGCTGCCCAAAAAAACGATTGTTAACATACATATTTTCGATCTCCACCGAAGCCCGAAATTTTGGGATAATCCAGATAAGTTTGATCCTGATCGATTTTTACCGGAGAATGTTCAAAAAAGGCACCCGTTTGCGTATTTGCCTTTCAGTGCGGGGCCCAGAAATTGCATAGGTAAATATTATTTGTCTTAGGTAAATAATAAAAAATTCTATTGTAAGAAAGGAAGTATATATATCTTGAAATACGACATTGACCTAAGACCACTTGGGATATTTAAGAAAAATCATTGCGGCAGTTCCTTCTTTATTTCATATCTAGCAATGCCGAGGTCAGTCATGTTAAAATGTAATTTCATTGTTGGGTAAATTTAAAAAATGACTAGTTAACATAAAATATTATAACAATAAGAAAATTTTGCTGTTTTTTTTAATATCGCTTATAGAAGAAAACTATTTTGGGAATGGTTACAAATATAGAGATATAGATATAGATATAGAGATATTTTGGGAGTGACTGGAAAGTACTATATTATATACTGTATACAGTGTGTCCACGGTTGGACTTAACTATACTTATTTTAAATTTTTCGAAGAAAAGTCACTCCTTATAATTTCTTCTGCTCTATTTTCTTAAACAGGGTGCGCAAAAAAATACAGTTGTAGATTTTGCAAAATTAAAAATTGTTAAATATATTTTTTGAAGGTCTAATATGAAGAGCTTTAAAGGAGAAACCAAAAAGCCAAATATGGTTTTTTCATGTGAGTTGTTACTAAGATATTTTTTATTAAAAATAAAATCAATTGAGGTCCTAACTTGAGTGGTCCTATTATTTTGTAGAAATTGACTGCTATCTCATTTTGAGATTATAAATCAAGGTTGTTGCTTTCAACTCATATGTCTACAATGCCTACAATTATTTGTTAAAATTAAAATTAAATAAGATATCAAATATCTTAGTATCAAAAACTCATATGAAAAAACTTCATTTGACTTTTTGATTTCTCCTTACCAGCTCCTTATATTAGCTCTTTAAAAAAATATTTAAAAAATTTTCATTTTGAAAATCAGTATTTTTGCTCACCCTGTACAACAAAATAGATGTTTCTCAACGCGAATCGTATTAATATAACAAGCAGAAGAAATTATGAAGTGTTAAGGAGTGGCCAGCCAATAGTCCCATTAAACATATTTGGAGCATTATGAAAAGGCGTTTGCATAACGGCTGTGTGAACCATTTGGGAAAACTAACTATACCATTTAAAAAAATAAAACTAATCAGCATAAAAAGCTTTTTTGTAAAATTATATAAATCTGATACAAAAAATCCACCAAAAACATATAAATTCCATTGATGATTTAAATTGTTTAATAATATATTAATATATTTCATGACACCAATTTCAAAATAATAAAAAAACTATTTAAAAATAGACTCATAAAGGCATTTTGAGCATTTGTTTTGATTATAATCAATAATCAATAATTATTGTTAAACAATTTGTTTATTTATGCTTTTTTAGTCTGTTAAAATTATTTTGTGTTCTCCAGTTTTTTTATAAATGTTTTTACGACAACATGATATTGATATTGATTGATATTTAATGGTTTAATTTAATATTTATAACGATAAATTTAAATAAATAATTGTAAAAATTATTTTGCGTATTTTTCAAAAATTAAACTATAAAGAATTTTTTAGTACTGTCATAGGAATTTTTAAGAGCTTTTCAATAATGACATTATTATAAGGTAACCACAAAGAGGGGTTGGCATTTAAAAAAATTGAATTGGAGTGGCCCCAGGGGTTGCTTAGTGAAGGTCCTTTTTGTGGCCATATCCTAGTAACGGTTTTAAGAAATTTTTGATTAATTTTTTAGGTCCAGTCCTATAGAGCAATTATTATTTTAGAATAATATAAAATAATTAAGTCCCCTGCAATATTTCATTGGTTTTAATATTTTTTGATAATTTTTTTTAATTGTTATTTTTAGGCCAACGGTTTGCTATTTTGGAATTTAAAGCTGTATTGTGTGGAATTTTGAAGAATTTTAAATTTGTAGAAATAGATACACCTGAGACCATGGATTTTATCCCAGATATTGTTTTACGCCCCAAACGTGGTGTTTTAGTAAAAATTGTTAGAAGAAATTAATATTAATATATAGTAAACATTATCACACATTTTTAGTACATATTTTAAATATTAGATAGTATATCCAGACCTACTTATTGCCTGAATTACAATTAAATCCTGGTTATTTTACTTTAAAATATATAACATAAAACATAACATTGAAATCATCGTAAGTTATAATTAATTATAATTGTTAAAATTGATTGTGCTTATCATAATTTTTAAAATATTATAAATAGACCTTGGAAAATTGTTTTGATATAAATTTTTTGAAATAAGTTTTAAATAAAATTAAAATAATGCGTGGGCATTGTAAAGCCTCTTTATTAACATACTTTGAACAATAATTATTATTGTATTTTAATAAAGTTTATAATGAAGTCCTTGTTTATTAACAAAACGGAATATGGAAATATAGGAATTAATAATAGACGGTTTAGTGAAAAATTAAACCTATTTTAAAAATTTTATTTTAACCAATATGCTGGAAAATAATGTAAGGTAAGAGATCCAAGTGTGCGCAGTTTAAAAACAATATTACATTGCTTTTAAACTTTTAAACCCAATAATGATAATGAAAACTATTTAACCTATAAAAAACCGTGTTGTCTCTATTTAATTCGTACCTCGTAATGGACCATTAGACATCCGGCGTTGGCACATTTCAATCATCATTACCACATAGAGTAACAACGTTTCCGCGCCGTTCATACTTCAGGACAACTTGAAACAAATTATATTTGCGTCGGGAAAAACAAAAGACCGCAGGAAATGTCGACAATACAATTGTCACCGACAGAGCCTTGGCTGATGAGCGAACAATAGTCAGTGGCGCACGCCTCGAAAACTATTCAATTTATGACCTACACCGTCGTTAAATTTAATTTTCTACTTGTTATGCATTGTTTTCGATCGTTAACATCCAATTAACAGTGGTATTGCCACTTATATTTTTTTAAATATTGTTTTCAAATTAAGTGAAGAAATGCTATTCCATAGGTACACAAAGAAAATAAAATAGTAACAATTGATGCCAACGGCAAAGTCAATGTACTATTTATATTATGCAATTTTTAATAAAACCTCACGGGTCGAATGGTTATTTAATGTCACTTCAATGAGTAGCAATATTCTGCACATTAAATATTATTTGGTTACTGTTTTATTTTCACTGTGTACAATTCTGGAAAATGGAAAATTTTAACTAATTAACAAATTATTCAATTTGGGTTAGGATAACTTATGCACACTTAAATTGTTCAAGTTGTATAAAAATGAAAACATGGCCTTTCCTAAAAAAGCTTATACTCGTAGAAGATATACGCTAAAAAAGCATATTCGCGTTGCAAACAAAAACTGAAAAACTTTGGTTTAGTTCTAGATTTCGATGTATTATTCATCAACGCTTGTCAGTGATCATGTTGAATTATTGTGTTTTTAATTATAAATGTAGTTCAAGAACTAAATCGTTGCATTTTCATGTTTTGCCAAAGGATCAAATTCGTATTTGTTGGTGCAGAATTAACTATTGATAACTTTACCTAATATAACATACATTTAAGTTTTTTTTAAGAAATCTATTAAAAATATTAGTTGTACAAACATAACCTTAAAATAGAATATTTTTATATTTGAGTCCTTTAAAAAAACGCCGAAATAGTAAACTACAAAATATATCTACGAATTCATGGCAACATAATATTACATATAATACATAATATTTACCAGTTTTTGTTTTTTTACCGTTAAGTGGAGACTTTCTTAATTAACGCTTTTAATATTGCATAAGGCTGTTTGAATTTAGAAGACTTATTTGTTTTATGATTTTTACTGATTTGAAATTTTTACAATTTTCACGTAAATCATTACCAAATTGTGTATTTATTGTATCTAATAGGTACAATTTATATTTACAGGGACTGTATGCAATTTATTTATTTATTCGGATTTCCACTGTTTATTGGGAAACCGGTAAAAACTCAAACCAGGATTTCCCCTCGAAAAACAAATCGTTCCACGTTTTTTTCTTGATATTCTAATTATATTTCAAATAAATTTTAAAATGAAGATTAATAAGTAAAATTTATTTAAAAAATATGGGAGAGCTTAAATAATCGATGTAAAAATGAGCCCAGAATAAATGCACGACATCGCATAACTTTTGTAAATACTATCTCTAGATCTAATGTTTCTTTAAACTCACCCATTAATGTCATTACACGTAACTTTAATTTATTCTGTAAATTATGTGATATTTATATTTGCTCGCTATTGGATTTACGAAATGTCTGTTTTAGCTACTTAAAAAGCAATAGCTATTAATCTATTATGCATTTAAAGTTATATTTTATTTTTATTTTATTGTAAATTTGTCCTGTTATTGGTTTATTTGTTAGGCAAATAAATTTTTTTGGTATTTTCTGTTTTTGTCCAATTTACAACAAACTTAACTAAACTAAACTGATTTATATATTAAAAGTTCATTGCAAGAGGGACAAAAACAAACACATCAGAACAAAAACAAACACACGCTAGATTGACAGCAAAATTTTGATTTTGTTAATGACACTAACGTACCAACTTTATCCTTTTTAACGGCCTTTCCCTTTTGGAAATTAGCCAGCTCATTATGTTTTAAAATTTTAATATGATTAAGGGACTCAATTAAGAGAATTTTCATGTCTCACACCATCACTTTTTCTTCCACATCTTGATTTATTCATTCATTTTCATTCTAGACTATGCAATTTTGGGATTCCTATATTGTCCCCAAGGAAGAAAGTTATTTATATTTCAGGACTGTTTTATCAGCAACCTTTCGGTTCGACGAACCAAAACAAAGTACCAACTGAAATGATGCAACCATTATGGTTGCACTGCTGCCAACCTAAATGTCTGCAATGTTATTGGCTGGAGCAGGAGTACCAGCAATAAAAGATAAAAGATGGTCATCTCTAACGTCCAAGACTTTACCTACTCAAGAAACAGGAAGTTCCTTGACGCATTGCTAGTATAATACCAGTGGTATTATTCCAGAAAATGGAAGCTTCACCTCGCTAGAGATAATGATTTTAGTGCGTTTCACCAACTTAAAATACTTGTATTGACAGTATTGCGCCACACCAAAGCAAAGGACTACCTGAGCTTATATACTCTCCATGTAAGTCAACAGAGGCGAGAATTAAGAACATACGTGATCCACACCGCCTTTGCCGCGATCGGTACATACTATGCAACCAGGAATGCACGGCAAATTGTTTTAATCGTTTTAACAGACTGATTAAGATTTAAGTAACTCTTATTTTACAAAAAACATATTTAGTAAACTGAACCATACAGCGGGTCGGTTTCACTAAAGTTTTCTGGGTTAATTTAACCAATTTAAAAAAATAAAATAACTATCTGGTTTAGTAAAGTCAAATTAATCTTTGTTTATATTAACCTTCCAACAGTTGATGTAAATAAATATGGGTCAACTAAATTAATAAAGTTAAATTAACCATTCCTTTTTTTCTGTGTATAAATCCAGCTTAAAGCTGTGGTTTTTCAGAAGCTGCTTCCAACAGACGATCAACCATGGATTGAGTTTAGCTAGCGCATATTGGAGATTTTGGAAGTAAAACTTGATTCTCATGATGACTGACGAGGCTTATTTACACTTTTTCATTATTAATTTTTAATATAAAATTTATATCACCCTTATATCTTCAAAATTAACAATTTGAGAGTTATCTGAAATACTTCAGGACAACAGTGCATTTTGTGTATACATGGCAATGGAGCATCATCCCTTAAGGGGCCTACAAAGAAACTTTATATTGGTAGTTTATACATGGTTTTCGTAAAAGTTATAAACATGTAAACTTGAGCGTCATGCAAAAGCAATATTCGCATTTAATCTTTGAATTATTGGTTTTGTTATGTCCGTCACGGCGAGATGGCTCTATTAAACCAGCGCCGATAAATCAGCAGTGCGTTTGCCGTTCATACAGCACCAGACGCCGGCTCCGGAGCCGTTACGCCCTTCCCTCACCCTTCGTTACTCTTTATGCCTGTCAGATCCGCTATTTATTGCATATTAGATAAAATGCTAATTTGTGAATCCCGACAAAGGTGATCGTTTGTACCCTCTTTGTTCGACCCTTCGTCAGTTAATAAGAACATCCTAAAAGGAAATAAAAAGAAATGATATTCAATTAACGATGGGTGTGCCGCAAGGTTGTGTACCATGGTGTACAACCGAAAGGCTCACTTTAAAATTTGAATGCGGAACCCAGCCTAATAATGAAAAAAAGTCAACGATAAAAATTCTGTGGGTAAAAGGCATAAGGGGATAAGTCAAAAAAGCTTTTTTTGACTTATCCCCTTATGCCTTTTACCCACATAATTATAATTATTATAAATAAATATATACGAGCCCTAACCACATAATGTTCGGACACTTCATAATTTATACAGAAATTTTTTTCGTGAATACTATCTCAAAATTATTAGAAGTTATGAAAAATTCAGCTTATTTTGGCATATACCCCTCGAAGCGATTTTTATTTTTAAAAAGTTTACCTTTTATTTTTAGCTTTTAAAAAAAGGCTAACTTTTTAACTTTTTTTTGCATGAGTAAAAAAAGTTATAAATGGGCCCATTAAAAAGAACATAAAATATTATACAAACCCTGAAAATTTGGTAAAAATTGTATAAATAATAAGAAAGTTATAGCGATATATATATCTGCAAAATCTCCCGTTTCCTAAGAAAATTGCAAAAACTCTTTAAAAATAGCATTTTTAAATTACTTATACTTTTTTATAACTTATTTATTTTTTACCAAATTTTCAGGGTTTGTATAATATTTTATGCTCTTTTTAATGGGTCCATTTATAACTTTTTTTACTCATACAAAAAAAAGTTAAAAAGTTAGCCTTTTTTTAAAAGCTAAAAATAAAAGGTAAACTTTTTAAAAATAAAAATCGCTTCGAGGGGTATATGCCAAAATAAGCTGAATTTTTCATAACTTCTAATAATTTTGAGATAGTATTCACGAAAAAAATTTCTGTATAAATTATGAAGTGTCCGAACATTATGTGGTTAGGGCTCGTATAAGTTTTGGTACATGCATATCTTTTGTTGTAACCGACTTTTTAAGTAACCCCAAAGAAAAGTAAAACTTTATGAAATATACCGTCTACGTAAATTATGAGAATTCGATAAAAAATGTTATCGTTATAATTTGTTAAAAAAGTTCATTTTAGCCATATCGCTCAAGAGTACCTTTTTTAGTTTAAGGTAATATGCAATTTTGTAAGCATTT